AAAGGAGCAGGAGGCTCTATAATTGAAAAAAAACCCACAATTGTACTCAAGTAAGTACACCAGTTAAATTTTATACTGCCATTCACGATCCATTTATTTAAATGACTGATAATTGGGTTTTCCTTTGGCTCCCTAGGTGGCAGTGTTTTGTTGCTTACACTGAAATTATTTAGGTCAATTCTAGATGCTGCTAGAATTTCTATTTTCTCTGAAAATCTGATTTAGATTTTATCTTGAAGACTTTTACTGACAGTAAGACTGACTCAGGTTTGATTTGTAAGTTTGCCATGCTGTCTCATTAGTGAATGGCTTTATGCTGTTCAGTAACATGAAATCATTGACATTTTATAAGCATAATTTCTGAAAGTTGGGTGACACAGCTTCCATTTGTACCAGGAAACTTTTATGGGGTACAAGCTCATAGGAATTGCTAAGATTGCTCAAATATGTGTTAGAATGAGTCTTTAGACTTTGTTTAATACAGGGATTTTTGGTAAGCTGACTATTACTGAACACAGGTATAGTTGATAAAACAATCATTTCTTTCAGTCAGGTCAAAATGACCATGAAATGAAATTTCATAATGGACTTTCACAGGAACTGAGTGAAATGTGAACATAAATATGTTCCAGCTGAAATTACTTGTTACACATCAGAACTAGAAAGGATAGGTGAGAGAATAAACTCCAAAATGTAGAAGAATTAATATGGTATTTTGACTGTTTTATTTATGGAGTGAAGTGGCCAGGTGTCTATGGATTCATAAATCAACAGGGGCTTGATTTCATGAGGTATTAAAAATCCTTCTTTTCTTTTAAATTATCTCAATTGGAAATATTACTCTACATTGGAGAAGAGAGTTGCCTGGTATATTTTTAAACAGTATTCTTCTGATACTTGAAAGCTATTGAAAACTTTAACAGAGCATCCAAACAGGAAGCATTTTATTAAAAAAAAAAAATAAAAAGAAATGAAAAGCACCCAGAGCAGAAATTGCTCCTCTTGTAAACAGTCAAAGCTCCACCAAGATTCATAGAATTAGTAATTACTAGAATTGTAATTACTTGCAGGAGAAAGAATTTGGCTTGCTGGTTCTCCAGGAAACCAACTATTCTATATGTTCCATGTCTGTGGAACATTTGATGCTCAACTCTGAATATTTTAAATAAAATAAAGTTCTTGCTCAAAGTTTTTGTGGCAGAATTCCCAGAAAGGATTTACCATCTGAGAGCTGCTCTTTGCAACTCTACTCCACAAAGATAACAATAGCTTTTGCAGACATAGTTTCTATTCTATTGTGTAAAGTTTGAGAGACTTCCATTTATGCATATGAGCAAGGCATCTGCACATGATAATTCTTTCTACTGGTTTAAATTGGTAAAATAATTCCCTTTCCTCATCAAATATATGCCTCCTTTTGGTTACTCTGGAAAAATGAAATGTCAAACATAAGGTTTTAAATGGTTGTCTAGTTCAGATCTCTGGAAAAAAAACCCAAAACAAAACACCAAACAAGTTTTAAATACAAATGTTGCAAAGATAAAACACCAAGTAACTTTCCCATGAAATCTTGCTTCAGCAAGTGGAAAAACATGAAATGTTTCTATTGTTTTAAAATTTTAGTCGAAACTTGTCATGCAATTAACATACTTAGGGAACAACCATACAAAGCCTTACTTTATTTTTTTTAATTACTCAGTCTTTAAAACTGGGTGAACTCTAAAGTATTCCTGAGGAATTTGAGTCTGAACTATGACCAAATCTTTAATCGTCATGAAAAGCTCCATCAAGGCTGATTTCCAACAATAAAAAGCCTATGCAGGGCTAGTTTATTTGATTACTGAATCCCAGGGCATGATTTTCAAAGGAAAGCAAATCCTGGAAAATTCCTAGCAGTTTCCCAAGCACTTCAGTATGTGCACCTACTCGGTGTCTTGTGGAACAGAGTTTTTCCTAATGCTCCTGCCAAGTCCTGACGATGTATTCAAAGACATAGAGTAGCTTCTGCTTCACAGAAGTCAACAAGGATTTATAATGTTCAGCTGCATTAGGTCTTACATTTGTTCTCTATGTTTCTGCACATACAAACACATTTTGCTTTGTGAGCACACTAATGAACAGGCAGGTTTAGCTCCTGAATAGTTTTTGCCACTTGCTGACATACATATCTGCAAAATTTGGTAAGAGAAAGGGAAAAAGCCCATGCTGCAAAGCTTACTATGAATAATTGCAGGGTTTTGCCCAAAGCTAAACTTTAGCTTTAAGAACAAGCACCAGAACAGGAAGGGGGAAAAAAAATCAAAGTAGAAAACGTAATATATTAAATGGGCTCCAAAGAAAGTTGCATAAATTTACACACATAGCACTAGAGCTAGGATTTTTTTTCCCCAGGTTAACAAGAAACTGATAATTCGTAAGGTACTTTTCTGACTGGGATAAAAAAATCAACAGGGAAGGCTTTGTGTCACTTTTTCCAAACAACATAAAATCCAGAGGAATACATTGTAACTGTTACAATATTTAACTCTGATGTTGGAGTTTACTGTGTCACAAGAGACCTATTGCTCATTCTCGGACAGGTCAACCTAATAATTTTCTTAATGCCAAAAAACTTGGAATTTGAATTGACTGTAACTTTTTACATAGATCCTTGAAATTCTAAATAGCCAATTTGTTAAGTGGTTGTTAAAACCCATGTCTATGAATTCATCACTGTGATGATAAGAAGCTGATGGTATGCAGATACCATCCTTGCCTGTGATTTAGCACACCCTTATCCCCATTTGTCTACCTACCCCTCTCATTTCTATGAAATCTAAAGTAAAGCCCACATCTTACCTCCCAGCTCTTCTTTATGCCATGATTCTGGTGACAACAGACACATGATTTTCCCCTTTTGTCACCTGACATGTTAGCAATTTGTAAAGTAAATGGAGATATATAGTTGACTCAATCAGTTTGGAATTGTGCTTGGTGATGAACTAACCTTGGTGCTTTACATGTGCATTGTTGTATTATGTACTTTGTGTGTATAGGGAATAGTGCCATAAGTTATTACAAATTTCTTACCTGGGAAAACCAGGTATTTTGCTGTAAGCCTGTCTGTCAGTGGTTAAATGCCAAGTGTGTCATGTTCTAGTTGGAGAGGATTTTGCATCATGAACCAGGATTTGAAGTTTCATGAACGTCAGCAATGCTTGAATCCAGTTCCAAACCTTCCATTTTAGGACCATTCTGATGCCAGCTGTTATAGCAGAAATCAACTGCGCTCTTTTGTAGGGAATTTGTGCAACTTCCATCAAGTCATAGGAAGACTATACAGACTTTCATTCCTTCTGCTGTCAGAGGGAGTGATATCATTTCTTTACTAAGGACTGTCTGTGCATCCTATTTGAGCAGATAGTGGGTTTGATCAGTTGCACAACTGTCTTGTGCATGAGCCTATTTAGTCCCTGTATTGCTGATTGTTGATTCCATGCAGGACCATCTACACTTATGGGGCTGTCAAGAGCCTTGAATAAAGGGCAGGATATAGTTTTGCTATGACAGGAGTAAAGAAGGAAATGAATGTGAATTATGAGAGTCACAATGCAAACCCTTGTATAACTTTACTCTGGGGGGAAATTGTGTTGTGCCAACCTGACTTAATTTGGGACTGGCACAATTTATCTCTTACAGCAGCTCTCCTTCCTGTGTCCCCTGAACAAGGAGATAACAGCTGTACTGCAGCTGTACTATGTCTTTAAGGTACAGCATTCGAAGTACCCTGAGGAAGAAGGTAGGGGCCTTGGAATTAATCCCTGGGAGTTATTATTACAGTTCTTTGCAGGAAAGCATCAAAAAAGTCTCAGTGAGAAATGAATGTTTGCATGTGTTAGGCAAGACTTTGTCTACTTTATTTTCTACTGTAGCAAGATCTCTGCAGGTTTTAACTTTGGCTTAAGCATGCCACTGACCTCTCTGACATGGTTCACAACTTGGCCGTAAGAAAAACTTTTCCATTTTTGCTGTCCTTGTTTTCTTGACAAGAACAGCATGTATTGTAGTTTATTAGACAGGGATTAAACCTGACCTAGTTTGCAATGATGCTTATACTACTGCCACACTATCTCCATACCTCTGACAAGAAGACTTTGTTGTAGTTTGCAAATTATATTGAAGTTGAAACATTTGTATTAATGGAACTCAGATCCTAGAAAATTTTTTAAAAAAATTATTAAGTAGAGTGAGCTGCTTTAAAAATACTTGGCAATGTTGGTGAAATGGATTTCCAGAAAGTCATTAATGTTTTTTAACCACATTACCGGCAATTTTGGCATGAAATAAGCTGAAAATTAATGTCAATAATCTACATAATCTTTGACTGCCACAGCAGGTTCAACAGAATGTTTCACCAGCCTCCTCAGTAGAGGGAACAAAGCTGAAAGACAAGAAACTATTGAAGAGGGTCCAGTGGAGGCTACAAAGATGATGAGGGGTCTAGAGCATCTCTCATATAAGGAGAGACTGTGGGAGCTGGGCCTGTTTAGTGTAGAGAAGACCAAGAGGGGATCTCATTAATGTATATAAATATCTCAAAGGTGGGTGCTAAGAGGATGATGTCCGACTCTTTTCAGTGGTGCCAAGTGACAGGACGAGCAATAATGGCCATAAACTATAACACAAGAAGTTTCACCTCAACATGAGGAAGAACTTCTTTACATTGAGGGTGGCAGAGCACTGGAACAAGCTGCCCAGGGAGGTCACGGAGTCTGGAGACATTCAAACCCCACCTGGAAGCGTTCCTGTGTCACCTGCTCCAGGTGACCCTGCCTTGGCAAGGGGGGTTGGACTGGATGATCTCGAGGTCCCTTCCAGCCCTAACGATTCTGTGATTCCCGATCTCGCGAGCCGGGAACCCCTCACACACACACCCCCGGCTCGTCCCTGCCCTCGGGCCCCGCGGCAGCGGCGGGGAGGGCTCAGCCCGCCCCCGGGGGCCGCGCCCCGCGGCGGGGAGCGGGGGGCCAGCGGCGCTCGCCTGGATCCCGCCCCTTCCCCCCCGAGGCCGCACAGCCCCCGCGCCGTGCCCCGCGGGGCGCCGAGGGGGCGGCGGGCCCGGCAGGTGCGGGGCTGACCCGCTCCCCCCGCCGCGGGGCGGCCACGGGCCCGGGCGGGGTTGCGCCGCCGCGGCCGCGGATGCAGGGGCTGGCGGGGCGCCAGCGGCACCGGCGCGGGTTGCATCAGACGAGCGGAGCCGGCTCTGTGCTCGCCGGGCGGCCGAGGGAGCCGGGGGCCCGGCGACGCTCCGAAGGATGCTGCGGACAGCCCCCCGGCTGCTGCGGACCATCTGCACCACGGCCGCGGTGAGCAGCGCGGGGCGGGCGGCGGGGCACGAGGGTCCCGCCGGGCTGTGCCGTGCCGAGCCCGTTCGCTCCCGGGCTCGGCGTGCCGCGCCGGTCCGGGGGCAACCAGGGGGCGAGAGAGGAGGGGGAAGTGGCGGGAGGGGGCATTTTCCAGGATGTGATGCGTATTGTCTGTGCCGAGGTTTTAGTAAAGCGCGTACAGGCGCGAGAAGGTCGAGAGGGATCGGGAAAAGGCTTGGTGTGGGTGCAGAAGCTGCCTCTTGCCCGGCTGTTCTGCAGGCGGGATCGCAGCCATCATCTGGGCACTGCATTTTGCAGAGATCATTGAATCATAGAATCATAGAATCGGCTGGGTTGGAAGGGACCTCTGAGATTATCAAGTCCAACCCTTGATCCACTACCGCTGTGGTTCCTAGACCATTGCACTAAGTGCCATATCCAGTCTTACCTAAAAACCTCCAGGGACAGAGAATCCACCATCTCCCTGGGCAGCCCATTCCAATGAATCCACCACCTCCCTGGGCAGCCCCTCTGTAAAGAACTTCTTCCTAATGTCCAACATAAACCTCCCCTGGCACAGCTTAAGACCATGCCCTCTTGTCTTGCTGATAGTTGCCTGAGAGAAGAGACCAACCCCCACCTGGCTACAACCTCCTTTCAGGTAGTTGTAGAGAGTGAGGAGGTCTACCCTGAGCCTCCTCTTCTCCAGGCTGAACAGCCCCAGCTCCCTCAGCCTCTCCTCATAGGACTTGTGCTCGAGTCCCTTCACCAGCCTTGTTGCTCTTCTCTGGACCTGCTCCAGCACCTCGATATCCTTCCTGAACTCAAGGGCAAAGAACTGGACACAGTACTCCAGGTGTGGCCTCACCAGCGCCAAGTACAGGGGAAGAATCACTTCCCGGTTGGCCACGTTGTTCCTGATCCAGGCCAGGATGCCATTGGCCGCCTTGGCCACCTGGGCACACTACTGGCTCATGTTCAGCTTCCTGTCAATCCAAACTCCCAGGTCCCTCTCTGCCTGGCTGCTCTCCAGCCACTCTGTGCCCAGCCTGTAGCGCTGCATGGGGTTGTTGTGGCCAAAGTGCAGGACTCAGCACCTGGCCTTGTCGAACCTCATCCCGTTGGAATCAGCCCAGCTCTCCAGCCTATCCAGGTCCCTCTGCAGAGCCCTCCTGCCTTCCACCTGATCGACACTCCCTTCCAACTTGGTGTCATCTGCAAATTTGCCGATGGTGGACTCAATCCCCTCATCTAAATCATCAATAAAGATATTAAATAGAACTGGACCCAACACTGATCCCTGGGGGACACCACTAGTGACCGGCCACCAACTGGATGCAGCACCGTTCACCACCACTCTCTGGGCCCGGCCCTCCAGCCAGTTCCTAACCCAGCAGAGAGTGCTCCTGTCCAAGCCATGGGCTGCCAGCTTTTCCAGGAGTGTGCTGTGGGAGACGGTGTCAAAGGCTTTGCTGAAGTCCAGGTAGACACATCCACAGCCTTCCCCTCATCCAGCAGGCGGGTCACCTGATCGTAAAAGGAGATCAGGTTGGTCAGACAGGACCTAAACCCATGCTGGCTGGGTCTGATCCCTTGTCCATCCTGTAGGTGCTGTGTGATTGCACTTAGGATGATCTGCTCCATAACCTTGCCAGACACTGAAGTCAGGCTGACGGGTCTGTAGTTTTCCGGGTCCTCCTTCCGGCCCTTTTTGTGGATCGGCGTGACATTCACCAACTTCCAATCATCTGGGACCTCCCCAGTGAGCCAGGACTGTTGGTAGATGATGGAGAGCTGCTTGGTGAGCTCTTCCGCCAGCTCCCTCATCACCCTAGGGTGGATCCCATCTGATCCCATAGACTTGTGGGGATCCAAGTGGCTCAGCAGGCCACTAACTGTTTCCTTCTGGATTACAGGGGGGCTATTCAGATTCTTATCTCTTTCTACAAGCTCCAGAAGCCAGCTGTCTCACTCCCTATTTGCCTGCCCCTGTTCACAGCGCTCCCAGCAGCTGTTTAAATCCCTCATGGCAGGGCTGGGTGCTGCCCCCTAGTCAGCTGATTGGCCTCACCTGAGACCTCCAGCAAAACCTGGAAGCTGCAGGGAACAGGCACCTGCGGTGCTGTGACAGTGCCTGGTAATCGTGTGTCAAGAACCATGTGAGTGTAGCTGTTCGCTGCCTCCCCATGCTGAGATTTGCCCTATGAGAAGCTGAAGGCTGCCTTCGCAGTTAGGAAGGACCATGCACGTTCTTGGTGCCAGAGGGAAGCCCCCTGCTTTGGCCTAGGAAGAGTGTCTCGTTTGTGACCTTCTCACCACTGGTTCCTTGCTCTGGGATGGTGGTGTGCTCAGGGTTGAAGTTGGTGGCCTAAATTCCTCTGCACCCCACGGTTTAGTTTTTTACAGCTCTGCACTTTTGTTTCAAGTCATTCTTTATGTCCTGTTAAATATATAGACTGCAGAACTCCTGCAAGTAACCGCTCCCTGAAAGCCTTGCCCAATCCAAATTGTCCAGATGTATAGGTTTTGTGAGTTGAATGAGGCTGGGAGAAGATTTTTTTTCCTTCCTAGAGGCTGTTGTTTCATGTTTCACTGCTCAGTTTAGCGTGAGGACAGCAATCCTCCTAAGGTATCTACATGGAAGGTGTTAGAATAAGGAGATTTTAACTCAGGCTTTTTGGAAATGCAGTCAGCAGTGCCAAAAAAATGAGAATGAATGAGTGAATGGTGGGAACACATTGCCCGTGGATGTGTATGTAGATGGAGGCGGGGCTCTACTATAGGTTTCTATTTGGAGGCACTGGAATTTTAGCACATGTAGGGGGATCTCAGTAGAAATAAAGCTGCAGTACTGGTTTTCAAAGGGAGTATAATTCTATGTTACTTTTAAAAAAGATGTAGCATTAAAATATTTATTACCTTCACTAAATTCTTACACAAACTAAGTAAAACATTGTAATCTTTGTAACCAGGGTAGCAGTTACTAAATCTTAGTTTTCGAGTAATTTGATTAGAAACTGGTAACCAATTGAATGTTAGACACACATAAAAAAGAGGCAGTAACAAAAAATTATTTTTATCTGTGAAATAAATATTCTCCTATGGAGAAGTTTTGTAACTTTAGATTCTTCTTAGAGAAGAAAATGAAGCTGTTGGACTTGTCTTCCCTTTTTAGGAACTAAAACTTGACAAGATAGTTACCAACATTTGTCAGGCTGCTTATCTATGCAGTGCTTAATTCTATTTGTTAGTTTTATTATTGATTAAGTGTTTTGGAGGAAAAAAGGAACCAGAATGGAATCAAGCATTAAAATATTGCATATCTTTTAATGAGCCATTGTAAAATAAATTCCAGTATGGAACAGATGGTATGGACAGAATTTTTAAATATGGGAGTTAAACTTAAGTCTGTGGTTTCATATCGAGGGGGTGAAATAGATGTGGACAACTTTCAAACACATTGAGCGTTTAAGATAAGACTGCTTGTACAAACAGTTCTCAGGTTTTATGCTTCTACCCCTATCTTATTTTCTTCATTCAAGTCAGGAGTACTTGAGTCAGGGAAACATAATTACTGTTAATCTGCGTTACGGTATAAACAAAATAGAAGGTTAAAGAAGGAATTGAAAGTTCAGACAATGAAAACAACAGAATTACATTAGAGTGAACACCAACTTTGTAAATTCTTTTATTTTGGCAGCACTATCATAATAACTACATTATTCTATGATTAGTCATAAAAGAAAGGCCAGATCTTCCTAAGCCACCTGAATTGCATTGTTTTGTATAACTAGAAATCAGGTAATCTTACAAAAGTGCAGCAAAAGATCCATTCTGATACTACAATGACCATTAACCTTCACATGCATCTGTTCATGCATGCTACGCATTTGTAGTCGGTCAGGCTACTGCAGAAGAAATATAATATCATCTCTCAACATCACTGTCAGAAGCAATAAGAAGTTTAATCTTTGTGTATGTTAGTGATAATGACGGAGCATCCATCTACTACATTATTCAAAATCAAGATTTTTTGGTGTTCTTTAACAAACTTCTTTTCTACAGTTTCTTGATGAATGCTGGCCAAAATGAGCCATTTTTGAAAGAAAGAAAACACCAAACTCTTTCCTTTTCTGTATAATCTTATAAAGCTTTCTGTTTTAATTGAGTGTTATGTCCACAGTAAATTCTTCTAAAATAATTTCCCACTTTTGCAGATCTAACTCATTTTAGGTAAAAATACTTGAGGAGAGTTTCCAAAAGAGGATACAGAGCAGCTATAAGATCTCATGCAGTTGCTCAATTAATTTTTCAAATAAAACAAAAAATGCAGATCTGAACTTATTGTCTGATCACAAGTCCTTCCACACAGATTTCTTTTCTTTGTTTTTTACTCGGTAGAAATCCTGTGCATGACTGGCTTGTGGGTTGTCTCCTGCTTTCTACTGATGGCAGACTATGTGTTAATGCACTACCAGTCTAAGCCAGATGTCACACAATACTCATTCATTGGAGAGGTAACTCAGGAATCACTGGTCATAGCACAGTTACCAGATCCATCTTACAATTGAAACCAGCCCCTATTTGAGTTACTTTCTGCAAGTGTGAGACGGCAGAGCGGATTCACTGCCAGGCTAATGTTTTTGTGCACTAAAGTGAAGAAATGGGACTTAACCACTCTGTAATCTTCTCAAACTTGCCAGTTTTGGCTTGGGTTTTTTGTTGGTTTTGCTTTTGAGTTTTTTTATGTTTGTTGGTTTGGTTTTTAATTCATTTGGGGATTGCGTTCTCTGTTTTCTTCTCACAATTTGTTGACTCAATTCCACAACTAAGACAAATTAAGCATGTGTAGCATTTCATGATTTGGAACTGGAATTGGTATGACATTCCATGTAATATGAGAATCAGATTTATTCACAGGGAAATGTGAACTGAAAGTTTAGGAGTAGAGGATGCATATGTTATTAAGACTGTGTGAGTAAATGGAGGAAAAGTAACTCCTAAAGTAATGATAAATTTGGACTTAAAATTAGAAGAAGATTGGCCAAATATCAGAAAAGCAGCAGAGTACAGCAGTGAGGACTTTGAAAATACTTTGAAAAGGAGGTCAGGTAAATTTATAAAAACAATCCTGTGACATGATTGATTTGATGGCAGAGGACTGGATTTGTTAGCTAAGAAGATCCCTTTCATACTTGTGTTCTTACTGAGAGATGTTGAGAAAAGGACAAAAGTAGAATAGGTAACTCTCATCTGGACTATCTTTCATGTTTCTTCAATATACTGGTTGGTCTACCACTGTAAATTAGCACAGAACAGAAATCAGAGGATTTCACACCATGCCAGACATGTTCAGTGATACAGCAGGCTAATCTTTCTCCAACTTGCCTACTAATTAAAATACTTGGGAAAATCTGATAGTTTGTTTTAATAATGCAGCAACATTTCTGCTGTAAAAGTGAAGATATCTGTCATAAAGCATTGATAATAAGCATTCCCTGCTTCTGTTGCGCCTTGCTGGATAAGGATTGCAGGGAGAAGTTGTGCTCATGGTAATTCAGAACAAGGTCTCGTCTTTATTAAGAACAAAATAGTGGACTATTTTAGGTATAACTGCTAGCAGTGCAGTGTTGCTACCAGTCTCACAGATGTTTTTTACCAGCCAATTATAACAATCTGGTTTTGCAAGAGCCTGAGTTATGTCCATCTTTGCATCTTACTGCTTGTTTCTACTGCAGTGGCACTAGTGCTGAGTAATGCTGCAATACAGGGACAGTTTTACTGTGTAGTTTCATTCTGAGGGAAAATATTTCTCTGAAACAAATAGATATTTCCTATTGCTTTATACAAAAAATAAAGAGCACGCTCCAATATTCCTGTAATGGAACCTACCAATTCGTAATTCCCTTTTCTAAGGCCAGCTGCACAACTGAAAGGTAACTTGAAAATAGTAAGATACATCCATAATATGTCAGCTGTGAAATGAATTGCAATGAATGGATTGTGGTTTTGAGTAACCTGTTTTTCAGGACTTTTCTCTTTGTCATATGATCTGATGGGCAGTGCAGAACATTTGTTATCCAATCAATAACCTGCTTAGTCAAAGTGTCCTCATATCCCAGCACCATAAGAAAGGGAAAAGAGGAAGGAGGAGAAAAAGTACAAGTGCCAACATACAAACAAAACAAATGTCAGTGGTTAAGACATTCATACAGGGCTTTGATTCCTCTGACCATTTGTAAGGAAAAAATGGAAGTTCAGTTGGGAAAGATGAAGTTAATAATAAAGGTAGGGAGAGTGTGGATTTATTTTCTACCTTTCATTCAGGACTCCTAAAAGGAGGATCTCTATGGTTTGAATCAAGGAATAGTTTGTACCAGATTTAGCCTTGAGGAGGGCAAGTTTTTTGTTTATTCTCTGTGGACCTTTCTTTTTTAACCAGCTCCACTAGTCCATTTGTTTTTCAAAGGTGGTTTCCAGTTTTCATTTTCCAAAAGCTGACTATAAATGCAAAGAGACAGTTCCACCCTTCTGCCATGCTTGCATGTTCCATTACATTTCTGCTCCCCCACTGGATCTATGTTAGGACTCGTGGCAGTGCAATGAACTAAATCTTTGAATAGATCCAGTTAAGAATAAGCCACGCTTTGTCAGGTCAATGCCTCCCTACTTCAGTATCCCAGTTCTTGGGATAAAGAAATACAGAAATACCAGTTCTGGGATAAAGGAGGTATTAGAGGTGAGGGACTGGAGGTAGGGTGGGATAGGAGCAGAACTGCCACCTAAATCTAAAGGGACTCCGAAGGTTAATTAGTAGTTTTCTCAGGATGCAATCACTTGAAAAACGTAGCAGTACCTGATATCGTGACACCATCATAGTGTTGTGGTTCTAACTATCTTAAATTAAAAAAAAAAAAAAGAAGAAGTGGAGGTGGTTACTTGGACCTACTCAGCTTGAAGAAGCTTAAAATCACATGTCCGGTGTACTGGGATCCAAACACAGCAGGCAGTGGAAGTCCAGCAAGAGAGCTCACATTTAGCAGTATTTCCTTGTAGGAGGATCAAATGGATGATCATTACCTTTAACTTGGCAGGAACCATGCAAGCTTGTCTTCTTTAGCCTATACATGTTAACCACAAATAATACACCACTGTAATTATAGCGATTTAGAGAGCATGTTACAGGCACATACATAATGCCTAGGAAAAGTGTTTTATGTACCCATTTCAAAAATATATTTTCATTTCTTATCTTATTCTGACTATGAATAAGATAATGGAGCTTCTTGTAAGAAGCAGTGGATCTGTCTAATGAAGATTCTAGAAAAGCCATATAAACAAAAATGACAGTATCAGATGACACTTTCTTGTGAAGTATGGTCTCTCTGAATTGTATGTTGCCTGTCATTAATCTCAAAAAAATTATTACTATTCCTTCAAAGGTGATTAGAGTAAAAAGACCATTCCATTTTAAATAAAAATGAACATTGATAAAGAAAGAGCAAGAGAGAAATGTAAGCAACGACATATTTTCTTTGTATCCTAAAACGTGTTTCATTTTAATTCTTTTTACCAGGCTTATCAACATAAACTAAAACTAGCCCTTATAGGTCAAAGTATTTTTGGACAAGAAGTTTATAGCAAGCTGAGAAAAGAGGGGCATAAAGTTGTGGGCGTATTCACAGTGCCTGACAAGAATGGACAAGCTGATCCTTTGGGTAAGTGTAACTTTAATCCAAATGTTAAAATTGCAGACATCCTTAACAAACTTGCCTTTTCGTGAGAAGGCAACATCTATATGGAAATGACTTGCATATATTGCCTTTATTATACTGAATTCAGCACAAGAACTGTGCTTTAACAAGCACAAGTCCCAGAAACGGTTTTAAACTTGTCAGTTTATCAGTATTTAAAAGTTGTTTCTAACCATGCAGGGTTAATGTATTCTAACAAATACATTAAGATATTGGAAAAATAAAATTAATCTGGATACCTTATTTGAATGTACCTCCTAGAGGTAATTGTTCTAAATGAGATCTGAATCTTAAAGCAAAGAGCTGCTGAGCCTGTACTCAAGCACAAATGTCTGTCACTTGCTTCATTGTGCTGCCTAGGACACTCAAGGCATGGAGCCAAGACTGTTTGTCCCTGGCTTTCTGCCCTTTCTGACAAGTTTGCATGTGGCAGTGTACCTGCAGAGCCTATTTTTCTTCAAGCCGGACCATGGAAAACACATTAAAAAGGTTACAGGAGGCTTTGCTCTCCCTTTTTCCGTTGTCAAGGTGCATAAGGATTTTCTAGACTTCCTAAAGAAAGAGTTGTTTCAGAATTGTACTCATTATAGTCATAGAAGAGAACTCAGCATGACAAAGAAGCTTATTTGGAACATCTGAATTGTAACTTTTCTTTGCCTTCTTTTTTTCAGTGGCACGAAGATAAGTTAAAATGATCAGCAAATAGAAGTGCCAGAATGGAATGTGTATTTATGGATAATCCAAAGTTAAAACTACATTCCATGAGCTGTCTCAAGTCTCTTTTGTTGTTGTGGTTTTTTTTTTTTCTGGTTTTGGTCTGGTCATGACACGTTTTTAGAGAACCCTTACGAGGGAAGAATCAAACACAAATTTTGCTTACCTGGGCTATGGCGCTCACAGACTGGCATATAATTCTCAACTCTACTTCATTAAAAGATTTAATCACACTCTGTAAGGCAACTGTTAGTTTAGAAAAAGAAAATTTGACTATCCAGCTCTGGTTGGATTACACTATATATAAATACTATATATATTATATTAGTTATAATGTACCATAACTTGGTTACAATGTATAAATTATTCTTGTGCAGTTATTACACTAACAAATGCAACTAAGTAAATCTTCCAATATTTCAATTGTATATTTATTTTAACTAAACCATTGGATTAGTTTATTGCTCTCCAGATTGAAAAAAAAAAGGAATTACTACATACGTCGTCACTTTTTATGTCCAGATGATGCAGAGAGCTTAAGTAGAATTTTCTGAAGTTTCTGTATCCTCAGACAACTACAGTTCTTGTTTCTAGAAACCACTGCAGTACACACTAACTTCCATGGAATGGTATTTAAGTAAGTGTTTACTTAAGACCTAAGTAAACATGCTAAAGATGTTTAAGGTTAATCTCAAGATCCAATTTCAGAAGTGAAAAGATAAAGTAAAGCATTAATATGTTTTTAGAAATTTGATTAGATTAGGTGAATTTTCCATGACTCTTCTCTTTTCCCCTTTTCTTCCTATTAATATAAAACTCAACAGATGTAAAATTTGACTTTACTATCCTATTCAGTGGTAAGCTGTTAAGTGGCTGTGCAATGGAATTTATCAAACATCTGAAGATTCTCTCTGCAATTAGTGCAATTGTTTTTCCTCACCTTTGAGTCTAGTTTTGGGTGTAGCTTATGTGTCTCACAGATAAATGAAAGCGTATCCAGAAACCATCAGTAAACAGAATTTTGAAGAAATTACTGAAGCCCACTAGCATCTGTAATTATTTGCATCACATGGCAAAATGCTGCTGACGTGTGAATCTGAGTTTTACATAGTCATATTCACATAAAAATTGCTGAAGGTGGAAAATTAAGTTCTGCTAAACCAAACCAGTTGCAGGCAAATGTAATGACTGGACAAGAAATGAAGTACCACACTTAAGTAGTCAACAATAACATTCATTATTCTTTTCTGCTTTCATTGGTCCTTATTAGCCGAGTCATAAGAGTGAACTTGAAGTTGAAAATGACATAAGCTATAGGGATGAGAATCAAAGACAGGATGAATAAAATCTATCCAAGCACAAAGGTTTTTAAACAGCATACAGAACAGTACAAAGGCCAGTCTGTAATCACGCACTTGATCTGCTTGAGTTGTCATGCTATGTATCTCTGATTTCAGTGTGAATTTTTAACACAAAATATGAATTAAAAAAAATTTGTTCTTGCCCCTCAGCACTGGCAGCGGAGAAGGATGGCACTCCTGTTTTTAAGTTCCCCAGATGGAGAGCTAAAGGCAAGCCTATCCGGGAAGTAGTTGCAGCCTACAAATCAGTTGGAGCAGAGCTAAATGTCCTTCCGTTCTGTACACAGTTCATCCCCATGGATGTTATTGACTGCCCAAAACATGGGTCTATTATTTACCATCCATCCATCCTACCACGCCACCGAGGAGCTTCTGCAATCAACTGGTGAGTTTTGTGCTCAAAACTACGTGTTTGTCATTTTAGGATGTTGGTCTGCACCCATTGCTCACGTAAATGCTGGCACAGTTCTGTTGACTTGCAACTGCTCTGAAGGAACTTCTCTGAAGCAGCTGACTATTTGGTTCATGAACTGCACTTCGTACCTAAGATTCATTATTATTTCCCATGCAAGTGCAGCCGTTATTCTGATGTGATCTGTACATTCATATATTTTACTCAAAAATGCAAATTGACAATCCGGGGTTTCTCTAAACAGGATGCTGCCCTTGTGGCTCATCCCCCACAAACACTACATAACTATTACAACAGGGTTTGATGCAGAGCCTAAGATTTCGCAGAATGGGAGAATAGAAGAGAATCCACAAGAATAAAACCTTATCTCGCTGTTCTTCTGAGCAACGCACAAGGCTAGGTTCAAATTATTGCCCTGAAAGAAGTACACTGCAATAATGACCACAGTAGACCCATATCTAGCATTCTTGTGACAACAAAAATGCCATTACCACAGTGTTTAAATTCAATAAGAAATTGTCTAAATATAAAGAAACAATTTTAAAAGAATCTTAGAGGCAGCATGATGATTATCTGAAGACAGGGTGTTGTAGTTTCAAAACAAAAACATATTTTATTTTGTTTTGTTAATTTTTATCCTTACTGGACAAAAACGGTAAGCTGAAGTACTTAAACAGAAGTGTAAAGGAGACTATTACAGATGTAAGGAAATCCTTCAAAAAGTGTCAGTTGTGTCCAAGTGAGTAGAATAACAAAAGGGCATAAATTCTGGCAAATCAGGTGAAAAATGAGAGTCAGACAGTCCAGAAACAGGAATGTACTGCAGTGTTGTATCACCATGTCTTGCTCTGTTTTGCATATTCCTTCTATAAACATCTGCTCCTGCCCTTCCCAGGTAAAGGCCACTGTCTTGAGGCCTTTAAGCTAAAGTAGGATTTGACCTTGGCTGACTGTTCTTGTGTTTCACCCTCTCAACCTTTGCTCTCACCACTACTTCTTTCATGTGTTATGTTTACAGCCCTGGTGCTGATCAGGCCCTTTATCTCCACAGTATGACCAAGAAAACCTTTGGAAATTAGGCATGGTTATAGGGGCACCAGGCACAAACATGCCCCTGAGGTTCTGAGGGTTCCTCACTCACTTCCTTTACGTCTTTTTCCAGCTGCTGCCACTCTGTTCTCAGCAGCCCTGTGCGGAGGGAGCTGGTGGACAGGGGAGGGGACACACAGTAGTTCTCATCCTGTCACCTATTCAGCATCAGGGACATTTGCCCATGAAACCTTCTTCTTCTCCAGTGCCATGCTGACGGTATCCACTTCTCACCAGTGATCTTTTGGAATTTTTACATAATAGAAAACACAAGAAGTGCTGCCTAAATATGTGAAAGATCTGATATTGGCTAGCCAAACTTATTTAAGCTCCCACTTCTGTTATACCTGCCAACTTCCCCAGTTGTCTTTGGAGTTTTTCCCTTGTTCTGCACGTATGTGTGTTTTATTCCTTTCAATCATGTAGTTTTCAGTGCTTACAATTTATAATGAATTTTCCTGTGTATAAGCCAGATGTTGAACAATCCTGTTACAATATGGACTGCCAAGGGAATACTTACATGAGACATGCATTACTTAAAACAGCATTGGTATTTACATGCAGACAAATGGTTAAAATCATGCAGGAAATATTCTGGCTGCTCCCTTAAACACACCTTGGTCTGATTTTTCATTATTCTGAGGCACATGCCGAAGGAGAACTGAAATATTTTAAGTAGCTGAAGTTCCCTTCAGCTGCAGAGGAAGATCCTGAGCAGAGGTAAATCAGCATAGGTCTGTTGTAAGTGTTGCTATGTTCATGCCCAGCAGCTGAGAATTTGGCTGGATATTCTTAATTCCCTTAATAACTTTTTTTAAACTGTTGCATATTCGTAATTTTATACTCTGAGCTTAGCTCTTTTTCAGCTGGGTGACAACTGTACTTGCCTTGCTGACCTACAGATGAGCTGTGAGGCTTGGCTAATGCCATGAATTATTAAGATAATATACTGTTAGGTGCTTCCATCTTTCAAATTCTGTCATAACTATTGTACACCTTTTGCTCTCTGTGTCTTACCACTAATAATACTTTTGAAATAATTATCACAATGGTCTGTGTGAAAGACAGACAGGGTTCAGTTGCAGCATTTCTTATGTCATTTTGTGGAAACCACACATCAACAGTACCAAAATGATGGTACCACTGTGAAGTGAGCAATGGAAATATATTAAAGACAGTTAAGGATTTTCTTTTCTGTCTTTCTTGAGAAAATGAATGTGTAACACATGAGGATATCCCCTGACTACTTTCGTACTGTCTGTGTTTACTGTAAGTCTTTTTTTTTTTTTTTTTTTTTTTATGTCCAGGACTTTAATTCAAGGAGATAAGAAAGCAGGATTTACTATTTTTTGGGCTGATGATGGTTTGGACACTGGACCAATACTTCTGCAGCGAGAATGTGATGTTGGCCAAAATGATACTGTGGATGACCTATACAACCGGTTTCTCTTCCCAGAAGGCATAAAGGCTATGGTAGGTTTAGCTGTACTAAATACCAGTTTTTTAAGAAGAAAAGAGTTTGAAAGTAAAGGAAATATAGACAAGATGGATACATTTGGAAAGAGGTTGTGGTGCTCAGCCAAATCCTAGACTTCATGGGAGCCGTGCAGCTGTGCAACAGCTGAGGATGTGACCTCGGAATATTTGTTGCTGACAGGAGGCAGAACATATTCTGTTTCCACAGATGGCGACAAGTTGAATTTGTTTGGAATGTGGCTCTTTCCATAGATTTCTTAAATGTTTTTACAAGATGAAATCTTTTCGAGTCTCAGAGAGAACAAAAAGTTAGGAGTGATGTTTTTTAAAAAAAGAGAAGGAAAGGAGTTGGTGTTTTAAACTCAGAGCCCTGGTGGATTGGCTTTGGATTTTGTATGCATGTCCTTTTTTGTATTTTTTTTAAAGTGAATAAAAGAAAATGAATAAAAAATACTCAGCATTGTTCATTAGAGATTTTTTTCTCTTTCCATTTAAATGCAGATAAATAACTTTTTGCATAACGAAAGAGGAAGAATTTGAAGGCAATCATACTGAGCCACATTTTTGTCCTCCAGAATTTTAGGCATCTGCTGTAAGTTTTGTGACTAGATACTGCCATAAAATTTTGGAGGCTATTTCTTTTGTCAAAGAAGTTTAACCATGTATGTATGTTAATCAGGGCAGCATTGGTCCCTTAGATTTTGGAAATCCTAGGTTTAAAAAACCCCAAACCAATTCACCTTGTGTCAGAAAGTCTTTTCCTGTCATTCACAAGTATGACTGAGGAAAAAAAGATGAACCAAGCTAACATTAAATCTATTACTTTCTCACTTAGGTGGAAGCTGTACATCTAATTGCTGATGGTAAAGCACCTCGTATACCTCAGCCTAAAGAAGGGGCCACATACGAAGGGATCCAGAAAAAGGAAAATGCAGAGGTACTGCTAAATAACATTGGGTTTTGTGCACAGCATTAGAAAAGTTATAAACTCAGATTACAAAAGTAGCAATATGAAGTTAATATGAATTTTAAGTCAGTTGTTTCCCCACCTCTTTTTCCTGGGATGACTCCAAGAATGCATGTAATGGAGCCCTAGGCTAAGTTGCTATTCCCTTTCAGCAGTTACATGTATTTAGAAACTTGGTGTCCTATTTGGGATCATAAAGGTGTCTAGAAGCACAGTGGATTCTTAATGAGTTATCATACTTGTAAATAAAACATTGAATCAAGATACCTCTTGTTGTTACCAACAGACCATATGAAAGTCTCTACCAGAAGTAGATTTGATGTTAGGAAAAGCAAATGTTGGCACCTTTCCTGCTAGCACCAAGGAAAAAAACCAACAGAGGTCATATAAACGAACAACAGTTAAAAAAATATTTAAATACCCATATGAGAATTATTTTATCTAAGCACCCCTCTGCATTAGCTGATCTTCTTTGTGGTTGGGAAGGCAAGCACAAAATGATAGTGAATGCTGCCTGTAATACCTTCTTTTCCTTTTCTAGACCAGTGCAAAAGTTGTTTTTTTTTTTTAAAAGTAAAAATTATTCCAACAATTTTGACCTGAATTATTGTAGATTATGCTTTTAATCACATTTCAATTTCTGACTTACCTTATGAACAAATAGCTTTGCATAAGGATATTTTTATTAATCCATAAAATATAATATAACATAAAATAGTATAACATAATATTTAAGGAACTTTCTTGGAGAGAACTGACCTAATCTCTTTGGTGTAAAACTATTTGCATTGGCTTAAAACTTGATTCTACATGTTCTTTGTGTTTAGTCTAAGAAGGATGCTGAATACTTGAGTTTTGTTATCTAATAGCTATTCTGATACTTTAATTCATTTTGGCAGATTTGGTCACAATTCTGCAAAGATAAATCAATACATTTTCACTAGTGTTTCATATTAAATGTACATGGCATTCCTTTTTCCTCAGAGTTTTAAAGGAATTGCAGGTTGTAGTAGCGATTCCATTTATGGAACAATTTATAAAGGGACAATACATGAATAGAAAGTATTTTAATAGAAGTTTGTAGATTTATGAAAGAACTTAGGATCCAAGAAATAAATAGATCATTTTGAGTAGAAGGTGATACCCCAGACATACTCTTATTTATATTCATAGTGTGCTTATTAAATTTGTTAATCATAGTATTAATTATTTAAGAATGAATACTTAGTAGTAAGAGTTATATTTTCATTATATTTGTGTGAGAAGGAGAATCTATGAAAAGATATAGACCACAGGGAGCACAGAAGTGCTAAGAGCATCCCATTTGGTAGGCCTTTGATGATTAGCCATCTGGAGATCACTGATCTTCCTTTATTAGACCAGACCCTTTCTGCGTTCTTAACTATATGAATGGTTGAAAGAGAAGGAGGGAAAATTTGTAATTCTTATATAAGAAAGCATTACTAACTTGATTTATACCTAAACAGAGAAGAAATAGCTGGCATGTCTTGATTTCCTAGATCTCCTGGGACCAACCTGCAGCGGCTTTGCACAATTGGATTCGAGGACATGATAAAGTGCCTGGAGCGTGGACAACAATAGATGGCCAGGTATGCTCTGAAAACCAGAAGAATATTATTCTTTTCTGCAACCTCTTTTTGACCCTTTTATATTACAAAATTAAAAGTGTCTTCATACAACTGAATACAAATGAGAGTTACATTGAAGTAGCTTGAATTTGATGACCATATGTTTTGTATATACCTAGAACAGAATGTTCTAAATAAAATGTACAGAACACAGTTAAGAGTTTTTTAATCATAGATTCATTTAATTTGAAGAAAGATAAGAACAATATCTGAAAAAAAAATGGGGCATGATACAAAGGTAAGAAGAGTAAAACCAGACTGTGCCAGTCATCCTGGGAAGCAGACATGCATTACAGTATAATGCAACCTATGCTGTACAGGGGGTAACATCACAGTATTGACAATACAGTGAAACACTGTGAACTGCTGATGTAACAGGGGATTTTATTTTAAGGACATTTGGGCCTAGGTCATTTGCAGAAATAAATCTGTTTCATTTTATCCAAAACCAACTACTTTCAGTGTATTAAGGATACTGTATATTTGATCCACATTGTACTTACATAAAGTATTTTAAAAAAATCACATTATCTTTCCTGGCTGTGATGTCCAGATTTTGTTACTTAACTATTAGCCATCTGCTAGTAGGCTGCTCCAAAATCCTGGTTCTGCTTTAATGTCCAGGAACTGTTGCTGATTTAAGAGACCAGAAGGAACAGAAGAGCCCAAGAGAGAGGCAGTGTTCAGCACTGCCAGCCTGGGAGCAGAGCTGGACTCCACCAATCACAGGCTTCTGCTAGTCTCTCAGTCTGGGCATGCACTGATAAAAGCTGCTTCCCCTCCTGCTCTGGTTCCAGCATGCACTTTGTTACAGCTAAGCAGCTTTGCAGGTTTGGGCAGCTTGAGAAATGCTACATGTCCTGGTTTGTAAAGATCTAGAAATATTGTTGTAACATGTTTTCCATGTGCAGGTACTTTTATTTGCATTATATTAAAGGTTCAAAACAGTGTTATATAATTGTTAAAATTTTAGAGCATGTTTAGAATCTGTGCCTTTTTAATTACATACATTACATTTATTTTTAGGTGGTTACATTTTACGGGTCATCATTATTTGATGCTTCAGTGCCTGCTGGACAAGAGCTGGCAATAAAAGGTGCTTCAAGACCTGGACTTGTAACCAAGAATGGTCTAGTCGTTTTTGGAAATGATGGGAAGATGGTAAGTGCTCAGTCTGGCAAACATAAGCATGGATGGCATAACTTTAGCAGGAAGTGCAAGTAGTGTGGACTTGTCAGGCTACACAAATCCAGCTGCTAATGACAGACTGGAGTTTGGAGTTTATCGCTTGGACTTTATCAGTCCCTTACCTATAGAGAAAACATTCATGTTTTGCTTCACACTCAATCCACATTCATTTCCAATATGGAGTAAAATGTACTAATACCAGGAGAGAATCTGAAAATCAAGTAGGATTGGCTTGTGCTAAATTGCCTGCATCATATCAACTTTCCTTCAAGCTATTTATTTTACCGTTCCAATAACCATATTAATGCCTAAAACCTCTTCACATAAGGATTTACCCAGGCAATTTAAAATCATATCCTCTCATTTCTCAGGTACTAGTGAGAAATCTGCAGTTTGAAGATGGAAAAATGATCCCTGCATCTAAATACTTCTCTGCTGATGAAACAACTGCCCTGGAACTTACAGAGGAGGAGAAAAAGATGGCAGAAGATATTAGGGTAATTCGATAAACTGCTTTTGTAGGGTATTACTTCAGACGAAACTGTTGCATACTTATTATTGGCAAGGCATATCTTTTATTTAGTCGTGCAAATTGTTTTTGGATAAAATGTACTCATATGGGGGTTAATGTTCAGCTGTTGACATTAATTCAAGTGAAACTGGGATTTCACTAGAGTACTTGTACGTCACTTTACAAGGTTTCCTTTCAGATACAAGTGATACAAAGACAGTGATTGGGGCATCAGTTATGGTAAATATCTATGAATGATGAAGGTGGGAGTGAGGAAAAACAAATGGACCTTTGCCTCACAGCAGTGAGTTTTTCAACACTGATAGACTTGGATAGTTCTGGAATCCTTTCTTCACTGTGGTGTTAATCACTAGGATGTGCTCAGAGTGGTCCTGTTTGACAAGCTCCAGGGGGTCTTAGAACAGCAATCTGAAAGCAAAAAGCACAAGTTTTCTCACTGTACCTGTGTGCTGTGTCTCTTTTACCACAACCACACTCAAGAGGCTATCTGGCAGAGGGTTGGGACAGCTGGAGCCAAAAGCTCTCATAGCCAGAGAGGCACTTTTCTGCTCTCTCTTGAAATCCATCCCTCTGTAGTAAATGTAGGAGCTTAGCTGAAAGCCACATTTGTCACTAAAGTTTTGTGCCAGAGCAGATGAGTCATAGATGTCCTCCCTTTTGCTAACTCTGCTGCAGGTTTATTAACTTTTGGCACAGGTCAGGCAGCTTGATGCACTAGTATTTTAAACTGCTGCTTCAAGATTACCCTGAACCTGCTTGCCAGCAACCTAAATGCTGCCTGGAGCTATTGACTGACTGAAAAAATAGCAAAAAGAAATATACACTCATCAGTTCATGACACTACCTGCTAACTCTGAAACCCAATTATAATTAATTGAAAAACTACATTGACAGTTATTTAACTATTCATTTTGCTGTCTCACACATGCAGCTTAAACCAATTATAAGCTCTGCCCAGAGGCCTGAAATGCCATCAATCCAGTCACAAGGTGCTCCAGGCTGTCCTTGCCTCTATGGACAACGTATTCCATAATGCAATGGGAAGTTGTTATTTGGAGAATAAAAGTCTTTTAAAAATGGGCCTGAAAATTGTGGCATTGTACCATTCAGGTTTCTTGCCTGATAAGGTAAAATTTTCATGGACAAAATAATAAATTTTGATCAGCTAATTATGCTGAAAAATTTTTTGTCTAACACCAGGTCTCTAGACTGTTCTAGACCCTTGTAAAATAATTTTGTGTTTTAGAAACCTTTGAAATAATACATGTTGTAGGCACAGATACCATGGAAAATACAGTTTGATAAATACTTCTTGCAATTAGAGGATTATTGATTATTGCCTCTGTTATTTTTATGTATTATTAGGCTATTTGGAAGGGAATTTTAACCAATGTTGCTGCAATTGAGAATTCGACAGACTTCTTCAAATCTGGAGCATCCTCTATGCATGTTGTCAGGTAAAAAATATTCGAAATAACAAAATGTTGAAGCCAAAGTTGATGAAAATGAAGTTGTCACTGTGCTTTTAAATCAGGGTTGATCAAGTAGTGTTTAGAAAAATAATCCCACTATGTTTTCCAATACTCTTAACTGTTCCCTTTCCTACCTTTGAAAACATGGTACAGTTCCTCTCCCAAAATTAGGAGATATTGATGTAATCCTACTCTTTCTACTGAAGGAAAATTTCTGTTGACTTCACATCAGCCACATGGTGGGGCACGGTGATGCTCAAACTTATCTGCATGCAGAGACAGGTATCTCAGGACCAGGGGACTGATAGGAGATCCAAAGAAAGATCTCCCCAGAGGGAAAGAGGAGCCTTTCATAGAGAGACTTGAGCCCCTGCTTACAAGTGCATTGAGTCCTTCATGGTTTGGGTCACCTCATTTCCCTTCTGTTTGCAGCTCGGATATTCCAGGCCATAATATAAACCCAGCATTTCAGGTTTTTTTAAACAAACTGGTTACCATGCTTATTACTTACCAATCTCAATGTCCTCCATATATTGGTAGAGTAGTCTCAAATACTGTTTTCCAACAGTATATCAATATCTTCTATCTGTCATTTATTTCCAGAAGTTTACCTAAGAGCATTCCAGAACTGACATTTTCCATAGCACCCCCAGTTAAACTAACAGGTTTCATTAAAATGCAACGACTTCTTTGCCTTTATTGTCAGAGAAACATACACACATACTCACATGTATAAAAACTGGTGCCCAGTTTTGATCCCTTTCAACCTTCTAATGATTTGATTATCTGAAAAATTGTTTGATTTGTAATTTGTAAATTTATTCTTTCTTCAAAATCTTTAGAATGCTAGAAGAGATCAAACAGAAATATAGTGGACTTCAACTACAGAATGAAGATGTGTATATGGCCACTAAATTTGCAGATTTTATTCAAATGGCTGTCAGAAAATTCAGAGGAGAAGACAAAGAGGAAGAGTTAGTAATTGATTATGTAAGACCTTTTATTTTCCATTTATTGCTTAGTCTTTCTTGGGTCTTAGGGAAGGGTAGGCAATGCATTTTATTAGACTGCTTGATGCTGTAGGGAAGCAAACGAATATTTGGTTATATAAACTTTTGTATGTTTGCATTTTGGAATGGAAGTGAATATGTAATGTCACTTACAACATTCCAGAATCCAGGAGATCAAGAACACACAGTAGAGTAGCTCACACCTGGGCATATATTCCTTCCTCCCCTGCACTGTCCTGTCAGTCAGAATGGTTCTTGACCCTCTGCTTTTCAGGGGTACAGTGCCAGATTTTTCTCCTAAGAATCTGTTTGAAAAATGTACGTGAAAGGAGGATTCCATGTTTTTTTAAGTCATTAAGCAAATCAGGTTTTCTCGAATCTGAGAATTATGCATTTGATTCAACTACACTAAGACTGGTCTTAACCAGGGTTTAGTATTGGTTTGAACATAGAGATCCAGCGGTAAAAAAATGCAGAAATCTGCTTAACTGGCTCAGAGTATGGTCATTAGCATTGAGGGAGAATATGGTTTCCATTACATTTTACTTCTAACAGCCACATATAAATGCTCAAATGCATCTCGATATTGGCTGCAGATATCAAAAGCTTGTTAAGCTACATTAGAATATTAGTTATGAAAAAAATAAAATTAATTTGTTGTTTATTTCACTCAGGTTTCAAAAAATATTAACAACATGACTGTGAATATGCCATACCAGTGTTTCATAAATGGACAATTTATAAATGCTGATGATGGAAAAACATATGACACTATAAATCCAGCAGATGGATCAGTAAGTAATTTCTAAATATGACCATTACCAGTTTATTTCAACTTTTTTGCCTATTAAAAAATCTAAACCATTACCTGACTATTGCTCATTTTAAAACTATACAGTACATATTAAACAAACTCTAGAAATAATTTTAAGTTTCAATTTATTTCACAGCTTGTGTATTCTACACTTTTTCCATTTCAGACAAGCTGTGAAGCAAAAATTACCTACTTCCACTTCAATTATTACATCAATTTCCATACCTAGCTATATGTTTTACCTTGCTTTCATTCTTGTTTAAACTTTGCTGAAGTTTAGTTGCTAAGGAAGTGTTTCTTTTAGGATATTGAATATATATATCCTGTCAGTAATCAACTTCATTTTTTTTTTACTTTTTTTACAAATCTGATGTCAGTGTGACATTAAAATGTCCCATTAAATTCCCAGTAAGAAAAATAACTTTTCAATAGGAAAATAGATACAGTTGCACTTCAGTCCTGAACTACCGAATCTGGGATGAGCAACTCATAACTATGAAATATAAATAAGAGAAGAGATTCTGATGTCTATGTAATTGTCATTTAACTCTAGAGTAAATAAATTCTGCTAAAATCAATGACACAAATTTCTCTATCATCAGGATTCAGACTCTGATACTTTTCCTGAAACTCATTATAGAATGGAATAAAAGTCGCAACAATTCTGTGTTAGAATTTACAATGTGTGTATTTATGGAACACAGTCATCATAAAATACTGTGTGTTTATGGTGGTTTATGGTAACAGAAGCTCCATTCCTTAGAAACGGAAAATGTGGGAGTTGTTTTAGGATGTTTAGATATTAGATCGTAACACCACATATAAAGATTTTCAGCTTTTGTAGTATCACATTAGTTTTACATATGGAAAGAGAGTGTGAAATCTAATGGGACAATGAATCTTGCTTTGACGAAGAAGAAAAATCTAGGAATCTGAGTCCCTGCAGTGTCCTCCAAATTCTCCCACCTTACTTGTGTCTGAACTTTTTGCAGCCTGACTTACCCATGACAGCTGCATGGCTGAGGGTATTAAGTATTTGCTTATACCCAGTCAAGAAGTTTAGGAGGAAGGAGTTACAATCTTAATCCCAACGTTTCATTTTGAGCTAACACAATGCTGCCTTTGGACAGATAATAGCCAGTGTATCTTCTGCTTCACTGGCTGATGTTGACAAGGCAGTGGCAGCAGCAAAGGAGGCATTTGAAAATGGTGAATGGGGAAGAATGAATGCAAGGGAAAGAGGGCAACTCATGTACAGGTATGTAAAGGACAGCTTGTGTTTGTTTCATTTCCTCAACTCTTGTTGGTTGGTTTCTCTGAAGAATTGTTGTGTACATTTTCTGAATATGATGGATATTCATAATCCCACTGTCAGAGGATCCAGACTGGCCATCTTTTCATCCCCTGATTTACTCCACCCTCAGGTCTTAGCTGGCCAGTATTCCTTGTGGCAGAGAAGAATTTTGTGTTGTCTCACTGCCACCATTCTTTCATAGTTATTTATGAGTGGAAATGAATTTGAGGAAAATATATTTTAAATACTTGATACCCCTAATACCCATAATTTTATCTATATGGGTTTTGTTGCAAGGATTGAAAATTCCCTTGTAAAGTCCACACCCTTCTGTAGAAATAAGGCTAAGTTTTAAAAGACAGAGCCTACCTGGGTTAGGTAGGCAGAGATTTTACCTTGCTAAGCTTGCCTGCATCTGTACTCCATCGTTGTAAACGAACAACTACATTGCCATTAATTTTGAAATAGACTATAACTGATGCTAGATTTTTGTAGGATCATATTCCAGTATACTTCTCATCTGGCTAAAGACCCACTCTAGAAAAAGTGTTAAGATCTGTAGTGGAAGAATTGTCCTGTGCAGAAATTCTCTAAGCTGAATCCAACATTTATCTGAGACACCTCTCTCTTTTGTATTTATTTCACTGTGTCTAGAGGATGCCTGGTTCTCATTTTGACTGTATTATTATTGGTTCAGAAGATAAGCTGAATGAATGGTATTTTAATGGTGGGTTTTGGTGGAAAGATGGTCATGCTGTCTGTATATTGTGAGAGTGATACTGGAGGCAGCTAATAAAAGCCCAGTTATTATAGATCCTCCATACGCAGCATGATGCCTCTGGTGCCTGACAGCAAGCACAGGGAGAACACTGTCTTGCAGACTTCAGATGACTAGAAACTTTATAGCTACCCTATAAAGAAAACCTCTTTTGTGGAGCTATATGAAGAGCTTTCCTTGCTTTTTCAGTTCTAGAACATGTAAATGAATGAGTAGACACGAGTAAAGAAGCAGATTGCTACTGTCTGCCCCAAGGAGCTCATGAAGGAGTAGATCCTGTGTATCAAACAAATTCCTTTTGCAGGGTGTAGTTTGCAGATTCATCAACATTACTGTTGGACCTCCTGGTCAAGTAAACTGTGCTGAGGAGACTGCATGTTTTTCTGTAGAGAAAAGAAGGAATTTTTTTTGCCTTCAAAAAAATACAATCTCCAGTAGCGTGCCCATACACACTGCTATGCCAAGCCTTTATTGTGCTGTGCCAGGAGGCTTGCCCTGGGCATCAGAATACACAGGAGAGGAAGGGTCAGTGACACAGTTGGCAGCTGCAAGATGGTGGCAGTCTGTGCATTCAGATAGCAAGGCAAAACAACGGTCTGGCAGTTTGACTGGGTGCAGGGATGGGTCACTGCTCTCTGCATGACGTCTGTGAGGATTTGGAAATTAAAGATCCATCTGATTCAGAGGTTTGGAATAGGCAACTAGAAGACGATCCTGTTCCCATAAGGGTTCAGCCTAGCAAGACAGGAAGGAGTAGGGAATGCATTCCATGTCTTCTGACCTCTAGCAGCTAAGGAAGAGGAGCACAGGGAAACGTGACGCTGCACTTGAGAAAACATATTCAGGCAAGTGAATATGTTTTGCTTAGTGTATGCAGCAGATCATTTGTTATCACATTAATAGAGCTGTAGGACTTTGTTGAATGCTTTGGATGCAAATTCCCCTCCCCTCTTTTACCATGTCCTTGTGAACCAAGTAGATATAATCAAAAATAAAAAAGTATCAAAAAATGCCACATTTTACAAGACGTTGCAGGCATCTTAGCAAAAGAGAATGAAAGCAAAGCCAAAAATTCTACTTGGCTTATAAAGTGTGTGACCAGGTTGTGGAAAAAGGCTTGCAGGACTCTTTCAAAAAGAGTTGAGTAGTAATCACAACAGAAAATGGGCAAGTCAGAACTGAACATTAAATACACCTGGTCACTTACATTTTTCACAAGTGTGCACATATTCAAAGCATGCACAAACTTGTGTTTAATTTCTATTAGGAATGTAGAGTGCTTGAGAGCCCAAGTTAACTCTGCCCTGAAGAGTAACTTTTAAGGTCTCAGAGCTACCACTCAGTGTTTTACGCTTGCAAGATTTGCAAACGTAACTACGTTGGGTATATGGAAAATGCAGCTCCCCTACACAGCATAGGTTATCCCTGGATTAAACTCTTCACTTAGGTGACTGGCTCTCTAGGATAGCTATAGCAGAGTATTTATGTTGCAAACCATTCCCCAGACAAATAAAGGCTCTCTCTGGACCACCTTAATTCAAATAAGGGTCTTTTTCTCTGGCCTCTGTTCAAACTAGAGATTTTGAGTGCTGAACCAAAGAGAAGGTTTGTGCCATTAAAGCTTGTAGCTCTGCTACGTCATCTTAAGAAATCATTAATAGAAGATATCCAATTGAAATTGAACCTTCTCCTTTGTCCCTGCCATGCCATATCCATTCTTTTACACAATGCTGCCAATGCCCTGACCTGTAGCTGGGTCTGCAAGACACAGTTAAAACAGGTATTAAAGAGCATTTTTCCACATCTCTGCAAATGCTTTACATGGGCAGAATTTGCATAATGGAAAAATATGTTTCACTCCCAGTTTTGAATTCTCTTTATGGGATCTCAAATGCACTTTTTTAGCTCTTAAAATCACATGGGAGCATTGATTATATGTCTGCATACCAAACCACAGAAGGAAGCTTAAGAAAAACATTGATGCACGTGAAAGAATGTGAATGTGAAGGAATGAACGTGAAAATTCATCGATGCACACAGACCTGAACAAGAGATCACTAAAATAACAGTAATGCCTCATAAGTATAGGTATCAGTCTGTGCAGATGCATTTTTGAGACAATCTGATAGTTATTATCAACTCAGTAGTATTTACCACAGTCCTACTTGCACCTCACTGTGTTATTTCATAAATCTAACAGATGGAGAACTTGAGGCCCAAGGAAACCATTGAGAGATTTTCAAATGTACCAAGGCACGGAAAATTCAATTTGTATTACAGCTTAGGAGCTTTGTCTTTGGACACATGGATGCCTTTGAAGCTTCTAACATTTAAATATTTTAGTCCAAGTTCAAACAATACAAACCAGCATAATGAAGCTAGGTTTCTCAAATCTTAAGCAAGAATCCTGACTACTCCTCCTTGGTACTTTTGATTACTCAACATTCCTTTTTATTGTGTATTTGCTTTCTGACTTACTGGTCTTACTTTCTATAACTGGTTCCTTATAGTACAACAGAAAAAAAATCTAATTATGATTTTATTTACAAAACCATAATTGAACAATCAGGTAAGTTTACACTGTTCATATTTTCATTCAGTGTCCACTACAGCCAATGTGAAGACATTTGCACACTAATGGGCACTTATTCAGTCCCTTACTGATGTTAAGAAGCAGTTGCTCCAGTACTCCACCTCCAAATTCAGTGGGAATGGTATTTTAATTATGCTTCTTTGCCATATCCAATAGAATTTTAGGTTGTCAGTTGTTGGATGCCATTTCTCTTTGATGTGGATTTTTAACATTTTTATTAGACTTGCAGACCTGATGGAAGAACATCAAGAAGAGTTAGCAACAATAGAGTCTCTTGACTCAGGAGCTGTCTACACTTTAGCTTTGAAGACTCATATTGGAATGTCTGTGCAAACATTCAGATACTTCGCTGGATGGTGTGACAAAATTCAGGCAAGTTAATGTGTGAAGGAAGTAGTCAATGGCAGTACTTCTCTACACTTCTTTTTTGTTGTTGTTCTTCTGAAACAGTGCAAAAAACAGTAAAAGGAAAAAGTAATCGAGGAATCAAAAACTAAACCATAATTAGAATTTTACCTAGAATGGGTCTCCCTGTCAATACAAAAAGGTAATCCACCTCCAGTTGGAGAATATGGATTTAGAATGTGACCCTAAATATCTAAGAAATCAGCTAAGGTGTCACAGTACATATGCATGCTTAGTTAGCACTTGATTATTCGTGGAACAGAGTATCATTGTGCTTATCATGCAGGTAAGTGCAGAGACTCATGTGCTATGCTACAGTCTGACCAAAGCTTGATGGCACAATTTGTGGCTCAGGTTCAAGAGCATTTCGCTAAGTGTCTTTAAGATCCACAATCAAGAACTTAATTCAGCTCTTTTTTGTCCATCAGACCCTCATTTAATGTTCTTCAATACTATTGTTATCTGTGCTTTTATTTCATTCAGGAGCTGATTACAATATCCACAGCAGGTAATCATACAGTAGAAGAATCCCCACCCCTTTCCCTGGTGCAAAAATGCTTGTGGTTTTGCAGCCTACTCTGTAGCTTTCATGGCAGATCTACTTGAATAAAACTTATTAAAGAGTATGAAGATTTGTTCCTCCTCTGTCTTTTAGGGTGCTACAATTCCAATTAATCAGGCCAGGCCAAACCATAATCTAACATTCACCAAGAAAGAGCCAATAGGGTAAGAATCACTTTTTTCTTCATGGTGACAGCCTTGATATACAGAAAAGCCATTGAAAAGCTGCCATCAAGTATGTAATCTCTCCTGTTTTTTCCCTATTTTAAGTGTCTGTGCAATTATTATCCCCTGGAATTACCCACTGATGATGCTTGCATGGAAGAGTGCAGCATGCTTGGCTGCAGGCAACACACTCGTACTCAAGCCAGCTCAGGTAAAAGCAAAAGGGAATATACAGATAGCCCAGGTGCCCCTGTTCAGGAAAAATAATTCAGGCAATCTAGCAGATTTCACCCATAGATTGATCCATCATATGTACCCATGGGTTCACTGTGTCATATGTTTTAAAGTGCCTGTATAATAATACAAATTACCACGATGATACAAGGTACTGATTGTCTCCAATTCTGCTCTGGCGCTACTCCCATTTTCAAGAATGAATTATTTTCCACAAGAAGCCATCACTTTTAATTTGTCAATACTGTAAGAAGGGGAATATTGTATCAAAACTAAGATGTATTGAATGTAAAAGCTATCATCATGCATTTAATTAAAATAGGAGACCTAATCCAAATGTTTCTACTTAGGTCACACCTCTGACTTCCTTGAAGTTTGCAGAACTCTCAGCTAAAGCTGGATTTCCTAAGGGCGTTATAAATATTCTGCCTGGTTCAGGTAAAACTTCAGCTAATCTTTTTTCTGGGGAGAGAAGGTCATGCTAAAACTGGTAAACTAGGACTTTACCTATTACATAAGTGCGTGTATCTCCACAGATGATAGACTTGCACCTATGTCATACAGTGATTTCACATATTTTCAGAAGAGAATAGGAAAAATTTACATGTCAACTGGCTCTAGTTGTTGGTAAGAGCTGTCAGCCTATGCCCTTTGCAAATTCACACAAATAGCATGAACAGTCTGGAAAAGAATATGTTACAGAGACACGTTTCACTTGATTGTAAAACTTAATTTTTCTCCTAATCTTATCATCACTTGGATTTAAATGTGACTGTGAGACTTAGAGCAAGTTGATAAGATGCATATTGATCACTATAGGTAAGTCACAGTCCATACTGTGTTACCTGATGTCACCATTTTCCTCTTTCCCCCAAGGAAGAAAAGCGACAGAGCAACTGTATGGGTCAGGCTTGGTTACAAATCAGATAATTCCACATACAGTGGAATACTGGGAAATTCTTTAGTCTAAACAGACAGGGGAATTTGAAGGCACTGATGTGATCCAAGTTAACTAATATGAAATATTTCATAGTGATATGAAAAAAGCTGTAAATATAAATAAGGATGTCTTTTTGTACTTGATTGACATATCGTTAGCTCCTTTTGCATTACAATGCTGCTGGTGGAGTAGTAAAAATTGCCTGTATACTGTCCTGTTACACTGTTTTCCTCACCCTGATAGGTGGCTTGGTGGGACAGCACCTGTCTGAACATCCAGATGTTCGCAAAGTTGGATTCACTGGTTCAACACCAACTGGTAAACAGATCATGAAGAGGTACTTTCAGCAAAAGATTAATAAATAAACACTGCTTAATCTAGTTGTGAAGTATCTTATTAGCTATATTGTGCATGCAGCAGTAATGAAAAAGCATAACTGCATATGGTTGTTTACTGCTATGTAGAATTCTACTAAGTCACTATTGGAAAATAGAGGTTTATACATTTTCACTAGTTATGATTCAAAGGAAATAATGAAATAAGATATTAAAATTTGGGTTCTATGATTATTTTTGTTTTTTTACAGTGCAGCTGCTAATCTGAAGAAAGTTTCTCTTGAACTTGGTGGTAAATCACCATTGATCATATTCAGCGACTGTGAACTTGACAGAGCTGTAAAAATGGTAATGTTGCTTCAAAGTAAAATATATTCAAAGCTTTTGTGATGCATCCTCACAGTACTGCACATACACTCAACACTAACGTGTGATTCAATGCCAGGACCCTAGGCCTTTCCAACTGCCAGAAAACAACTTTTTAGGGATTTTATTTTTCCTGCTCTTACTTCCCCCACCTCCCTAAGCCCCTGGAAATTCAATGGCAGGTATCAGTTCTTGGTAAATAAAAAGGAACAAACTACATGGGATCTGAATCTACACTCTTGAAATAGGAGATTCTCTGCAGATTAGGGTTAGGTCATGTTCACCCAGTTCCATGTGACTTTTGACACAAGCAGTATTGCTCAGTGGATTAGCACAGTTTTATATTTAGTGGTCATGCTGCCAGCCCTCTTCTGTGTGATGCTGCAGCCAATGTTTCTGTGGAAGGCTGATGGAAATGGACAGAGCACTGCTCAGGGGTTCATCCTGAGCTATGTGTCTCCACAGAAGCGTTTCCCAGTTATGAGATCAGTCTGAGGGTAACAAACACTGAATGGAACCCAAGGGAACAGAATGAAAGGAAGACTGAACAAAAGGATGCATATAAATATTAATGTTTTTTTCTGAACAGGGTATGGGAGCAGTATATTTCAACAAAGGAGAAAACTGCATTGCTGCTGGCAGGTTGTTCGTGGAAGAATCAATCCATGATGAGTTTGTTAGTAAAGTGGTAAGATATTCAAGGACTAAAGTTTAAGTAATGTTTTACTGTGACAGAAAGATCCACTAGTTTTATAGACACTTATATTTCTTATTTTCAGTTGCTTAATTTCTTGTTATTGCTTATGATAGGCAATGCTGCTTCTCAGGAACTTCTTACAGGGTTAAGAGGAAGCATTGAAGGGAGATATTTTCATCAGTAATGCACAAATAAGTGACATTTAAATAGATAGTGTACCTTTAGTGATAGTTCGTATTTAACTAGGAAAGTAAGATTAAAAATAATTACTGAATTTAGGTCAATGGGATTGAAGAAGGCTGCTGTGAAGTTTAAAACAAAGCATATTGGAAGTATAGATAGAATAATACAAAGGTCACTACTAAAAATCCAATAGTCACCACACTGTACCATTGGAGAATTCATTTATTTTGCTCAAGAACAGGAAACCACTGTCATAACTCATTTAGCACTGGTAAAAGCTAACATTTTACATGCCTGTCTTGATAGCAGAAGAGAATATATACGTGAGCACTGCATGAAAAACTTTCAGAATTAACTAGAGATTAGAAACAAAAGACAAAGCCTCATTTTAAAAAGGGAGGAACATTACATCTTCAAAGAATCCAGTCCTTTCTTAGAGCTTATCTTCATAGCACAAAAAAAGGCAGCATCACAAATCTCTGGTCACTGTAACAAGTATTTGCTATGTTATGTAACTTCATTTTAATTGGGTAACTCATAGGTTGAAGAAATAAAAAAGATGAAAATTGGTGACCCACTTGACAGATCTACAGATCATGGTCCACAAAATCACAAGGCACATTTGGAAAAGCTGCTGCAATATTGTGAAACTGGAGTTAAAGAAGGAGCCACTCTTGTGTATGGAGGAAGACAAGTATGTAGACCAGGTAAAATACTTTTCAGAGGTATTTGGAACTTCTACACTTTGTGCAAAAGCCATCACAATTGCCTCAGCTGCATTATGTGAAGTTGTAATATCATGGGAATAGTACCAGGTGAGCTTATGATACCACAGGGCTTTAAAGTCTCACATTATGAGAAGCTGTGCAACTGAAGTGTAAGTTATTGAATCAGAGTCTAGTCTGTATGGGAATGTTTTGCTTATTTATTCCTGTTAAGGCTTTTCTTGCAACACCCTTGAACTGTCAAGAGCCATAAGTATAATCATATTCCTTTAGATCACACTAACACTAAAGCTGACTGAGGAAACTACTAGCAGAGGTATTATTATCAAAATCTTTTTTTGCTATATGAACAACATGCACACCAAGCTCAGTGGGCAGACACTGAGAAAACCAACGTTTTCTCATGGACATCTGTCCTTCATTAATAATGAAGAAAAAACATTTACATCAGAGTTTCAAAACATAATGATTGCATCCCTAAATAAAATGAAAGTAGAGACTCATAACTATAGGAAATCTGTGTAACAAAACTAAATGGGAAATCTTAGGGAAGGGAAGGGAATTTATATAAAATCTCTGAAACTGATTTTACACACTCAGAGAAGAATACAATCACTCATCAAGACATAGGATTGCTCGTGTATAACACCAGGACAGTTCTTGATTGACAATGATGAGCTAGCTTTTGGACAAGTCTTCACACCCTTCAGAAATGAACAGTCATTATGAGGCAATCCTTTGCCTCAGGCATGTATTTCTCTTTTTGGAATATACAGATCCTTATGGCTACAGTGGCCTCTGCAACGTGCTGTAACCTTGTCTTCCTGCTGTCAGAGTACAGGGGCTTCTCCTGAGGAGTCACCTGGCCTGTGACATGCAGACCCTCTGGCCTGGCAGGGAACAGCATGTGTTGTCACTGATCAGTACAGGCCAGTCTTTTACCCTTTTTACTGACGTTTCTCTGGTGCTCATACACATGCATTTCCATTCCTACTTCATTCATATCTATTTTCTGTTTCAAGTTGTAACTTATTTTTGACCTCAAAGTATGGCAAAGAGATGGCCTGGACAATAGGATACCATTAAGCACTTTTACCATGCTCAAACAATGTTCTATCCTCTCTTTAGGTTTCTTCATGGAACCCACTGTATTCACAGATGTTGAAGACCATATGTATATTGCCCAGGAAGAGTCCTTTGGTCCTGTGATGGTGATTTCTAAATTTAAAAATGGGTATGTTCTCCTCTTGTCACTGTTAGAAACTTCATTTTCCTATTTCCCCCCTAAGTGAAGAACTGATAGCATATTCAGTATTTTGTTAAATCTTGTTAGACCAATCTGAATACCTAGATCCTCTTCCAGCTAAATTCTGAGAAAATACATTTTTTTAATAGGGGGTATCCTGCTCCATATCAATATAGACCTAATGCTGTTGGCAGTGTGTGACAGGATAGAATGCAACCCTAAGTGCCAGTTCTTAAACAAGACTTAGTTTTCAGGGAAATGTTTTATTGAAGTTGATGTGGTAATTGCAACAGCTTGATTGAATTACAAAATGTGTATTTTTCCCAGTGGAATTGCTGATTTTTTCTGTCACAAAAGACCACGTGGTGTTGTTGTGCATTGTGTAGCACTGGCATGTTACTGTTGCAAATGAAAATTCCTCTGTATGTTTTGTAAACTGCCAGTTTTAATATCTTTCATTTCAGATCATAAGAATTATTTTACACACAGATGAGATTGAAACCCTACATAGAAACTTCATATAAGTATTTCCACCAGGTTTCATTTTCTGCACTTTGATAACGCAGTTAAGAATGAGCCACATAGATAACCCTTCACATCCATAAATTATGTACAGTGCTAAGGAACTGTATTGAATTTTTTAAAGTTTTAAACTGTTATGGATTTTTGAAGCTATATGGAGATGACATGCAAATAGAAAAGAAGTACTGTGGAAATGGTCTGAAAAGTTGTGTCTTGATAGAAGACATAATAATAAATGCTGACTTTCAGCATTTATTCTCCATTAACTTGTAAAGCTGGCCAAAAATTTAGCAAACTGATTCATCATCTGCTGCCAAGCTCTGTTTTACAAGTATTTTTGTATTGCTTTAATCCCCAAGTTGTACAGTAGCTGAGCAAAGTTGGTATGCATACAGCAACATTTCCTGTGGCATTTCTCAGTGTAGATATTAACCATAGAAACGTAAGGCCAAAAGCTTCACAAGTTTGAAGCAAGGGTGTGAATTTCCATGGATCTGTCAGATTGACACACCGATCCGTCCTTAACAAGTTGTCTTTAAAAAGGCTCCTTGGAGAAGGCAGGCCATGAGAAAAGGTGCTTCAGTCACGCTGAGGGTGGAAGATGGCTAACACTTGTTTACTTTACCTGGATGCCATTAGATAATTTCTTTCCCCCACAGGGATGTCGATGGAGTATTGCGACGGGCAAATGCCACAGAATATGGCTTAGCTTCAGGAGTTTTCACAAAAGACATAAGCAAAGCTCTCTACGTCAGTGAAAAGCTAGAAGCTGGAACAGTTTTTATTAACACATATAACAAAACTGATGTGGCAGCACCATTTGGTGGATTTAAGCTGTCTGGCTTTGGGAAAGATTTAGGTAAGTTGTTCTCTCCCTCTCTTGTTTCTCATCTGAGAGTCCTAATCAACGAACAAAACATTTTGCCTGTGTACAGGGTATCCAGTAAAACGTGAGCTATGGATGCACTTCCTGCAATTCCTCCAATTACAGTAATCTAGTTTCTCTCCCTTCCTTCAATATTCACACCTCAATACCTCCCATTCAGCTCTTCCTGTACATTTACTAAATAATGCTATAGCACACAGAATATTCTCCCTTCAACTGCTCTCAGAGCAGTCAAATTGCAACTTGTCCAGAGCTGCCTACAGGCTACAAAATGCTGTCAAGTAACAAAGATACTGGCCAAAATCTTTTTTCCCCTCAGAAAGAACACTAATTTAGGTTTCTCCTGTAAACTTTAAAGAGCATGGGAAACTTTTTCATGCCTTAAAATGTCACCAAAATTTGGCAACAGCCACGGAGAAAGATGCATTAAAAATATTTTCTTTACAAAACGAGTTTTTAAAAAAATTGAAGTCTACCCTGTCAAAGAAACTTTACAAGTCTGGACAGATCAATCCTCAGGACAAGGAAAAAAAGGAAAACCAAATTTCACTAACACAACAGATTTTTGCCTTTGGAATCTCCAAAGCCATTTCCTGAAACTGAGTGATGGTAACAGGGGAAAAAAAAGATTACTGATTTTTACACAGCTTCTCTACACCTACAAAGCAAAGTTCATAAATTCATCTATGAGCTCTCAGTGGCCATCTAAAGACTGCTGCTGCTCCAGTCCCACCCGGGGGGCTGCTTGTTAAATTCCAGCTCTTTTTTCTTTCCAGCTCTTTTTTCTTTCCACATCTGTTGGGTTTGACCTCTTCTTGTCAAAACAGTTCTGTAAATCTCAGTGGGAAGGTAAAGTAATTAGTTCCCATTGTTTTTATGGACTCAAATATTGGCTACAGCATTTTAAATTTTTTTCTTAATAGTTACAGCCTGACAACATTCTCTCATTTAGCTGCTATTCTAACAGGGGAATATTTTGCTTGTACAGGTGAAGAAGCTCTTCATGAATATCTCAGAACCAAGGCTATCACTGTGGAATATTAAAGTAACAGCTTCACTTGGGAAGTAAACTTTCAGCAGAGTTTGAATCTTGATGACTACATGAAGCACTCAACACCATGCCTAGGATATGCTGTCTGCAGTGCTACAACTAAGCAAACAAAACAAAACACTCATTCCATGGATAAATTTCTATAAATCAAATCCAAACTTTAGTCTCACTGACAGATAAAGGCTTTTTGAAATTACCCTGAAATTATTTAAATTATGCAGCAGCAACAGTTGGTAGCACAATTCCTGCCTCCCCCCCCAAAAAAAACCCCTAGAACATGATTCAGTTTATTTTTTTTAATAGAACTGAAGAATGAGTTCTCACATGCCTACTTTGTATTTCTGTGACATAATACTTACATGACCATTTTAAATCATTAGTCATTAGGCTTGAACTAAAATATACTGATTATGCCATTTTTGCTATAAATCAGTTCAAGTTTTACAGTAGCAATTAAACACTCTGCTCTGGTGATTCTTCAGCAGTACAAAAACCTTTGTGCCATACATAAATCAATGCAAGAAAGTGCACTTACTATGATCTTTGTATAGTACATACAGAGTTCAACATTGGTGTTAAACTATGCATATCAAGCTAAAGTTACTGAAAATATTTTCTACCTTTTTTTTTTTTTGTTGATACAGAATGTGTGATCTGCCTGCAATTTGAAAGGTGATTACATTAACAGATTAAAATCACTTCTTGTGTTGTGCATGTGGACTGTTATCACTCTTTCATACAGCATGATTATTATTTTGTATTTCATATTTTTGGGGGGTTTTTTTAATCTGTGGGAAAATCTCCTGTAAAATGACCAAGGTAAGATGTTGGCTTTAAAACTTTTTTTCCGTTGGAAGAAAACGTTCTATAGATTGAAACCTCATCTAACAAACTATGCCTACTAAGACTACGTGCTCTTAGAATGCAACACCACCCAAAGCTTCATCTGATCTGTGTGCTGCCATTAAAGGTAGCAGTCTGATTCTTTGATTCCCATCCTTCCCCTTTGCTAAAATATTCAGTGGTTTAATCATTTAATCCCAGTAAATCGTGTCTTCATTCTATGTTTAAGTCACATTGTGAAAGGAAGATCAGAATCCTTGTTGTTTCTTATCACAAAAATTACAGAAACAGATACTAAAACTGGAGCTTTAAGTATGGGATTCAAAATAAATTTTGTAAATAACTGCAGGCTTCAATTCATGACATTAAGTTTAATATTTGAGCAAATACAATATAGAAAATTTTACTTTAATGGTGTAAAAAATACAAAGTTTCTTTAAGAAACAATGACAGCCAGCATGACAGACACTTCTGAAATGCAAACCAATCTATGAAGTAAATACAACAGCCCAAATCATTGTATTTGATCCATCTCAGGTAAGTATGAATGAGACTCACTGATCCTAGTTTCACAATTGTTTCAAGCTAACCTAAGTACAGACCAGCGGAAAATTCACCTTTTTATCCTTCTGACAGTGACAGTTGTTAACCAAATGGAGAGAATGGAAATGTAGCAGGGCAAGTGGGGGATGAAAAGTGTAACTTAAAGCAATTGTAACACCCCAGAGGCACCGTGGACCATTTGAATATGGAGGTTATTGGCACAGCCACGAATGTTTCACATGTGAGCTTGTAACATTCCCGTAAAGGTGCAGAGCTCAATGCAGGAAGAGAGTAAGTAATCCTCTGCCATGACTGTCCTTACCCACGCTAGCCCAGCTGGAAAGGACCTCAGCCACTGCTCTGGTGTTCAGCAGTCATTGTCATGAATGCAATGTAGACATACCTCTGAGGTACTTTAAGATAATGTTTAATATGGAAGACATTGTACATAACAATATAAAAACAAAGCTTTTTTCCTAGTTAACTCTTTCTTGCCCTTGAAGTAAAAATGTCTATCATACTATAAAAAAAGCCCTTTTCAACAAAGCAACGGAACAAGAATTTTAACTTAATTTGTTCAAGTGATCCTTATTCAAGCTGCTTTCTCAGTCTAATCTACTACAAAGTCCATGTCCATGTTTTTGGATAAATCAAATCATACTTAAATCTTCAGAAACCCAGCCTCCTTCAGTCATGAGTTGATCCTGAATTCTCCACCACGTAAACTATAGCATTTCGCACGAGAGATGCTACACTGGGAAACAAAATAGTTTTAAGGGCCAAGTCTTCAAAGTGAGAAGACATGAGTTGGTTTGGTTGGGTTTTTTTAAAGTAAAATAAAATGGATTTACTCATTCACTTTGCTGTCCAAAATTTCTATTTTGCCCTTTTCTCCCTTTTGCTTAGGAAACTTAATGTTGTCTATTGTCACTTCATCGCTGACAGAGTCATCTTCAGATTCCGAGTCATCTTCTGAACTTAGCATCTCCTCATCTGTATCAGAATCACTCAGTTCAACTACAGCCACATTCTGGGGAAAAAAAAAAAGATCTTGGTTAACATATTATACATTTCTGTATCACTTCTATCATTGGAGTAAAACATAAAGCAAACACATGAACCATCCTACTACCATAAGAAAACCACAACCACAATATGAAAGACTTTTGGGTTTTCCTAGGATTATGACAAATATCATGAAGAGATGCCTAAATATTTAAATTGTAATTTATCTTGCCCTATAGCAAATATAAGGCCTGAATCCAACCAGTGGCCAGTGAATTTTTCTGACAGCTCACACACCAAAGCCCAGGCTGCCTTATCTCTGCCTTTTACCTTGTGGGTCTGCAGGCCAGAAGGCACTTGGCTGGGTCATGCACATACCACCTTCATATTAAAATTTTCTTAACTAAGCATGTGGTTGCAACACTTTAGTTAAAACCAGAAAGAAAATGCTGATGTGACTGTGAATAAATAAACAAATACCAGCAACAAAGGATCACAACAACATAACAACTTTTCTAAACTCAAGATCTATAGTCAGTCCTAAAAATACTGACAGAGCACAGCTTAAAGCCAGTTACTACTCTTACACTAAAGTCTTGTTATGCCTTACTAGGCATACAATATAATTGTCCAGTTTCTAACCCAAATTTTCCTATGAGATATTTAAAATAGAATTTGTGACTTTTGATTCAGAGTTGCTGATTCAAAAGTATGTCTTACTCTGGTCCTAAACTACTCCACCTTCAGTCATTCAATTCTGCAAGTCTGAAAACCAAGTTGTAAGTATCAACCAAATAAGCATTTTTATTATATCTATGTTTTGCATTAGCAGATCACAGACTAAAATGGTAAAGACCTCACCTTATCTATCATATTAGTTCATTCTAAGATCAGAGAGTTATTTTAATCACATCTAAATTTACTTTATAAAATTAAAAACATAGTAACTACTTACCATTTCTATAACTTTTTCTGTTGCACTGTCTAGATTTTCAATATCAAATTGATGAGCTGGTGCTGTCATCATTTTTCTTTTGAGCTCATCATTTGCCTGGGCCATCTGTGGTAAAAAGCTCTGTACTCGGTCCAAAACTGAAAAGAAACAATTATTCAAAGAGATGCACGTCAGTTTTCACATTTATACCTCAGAAACCTGAGCCGTTAAACAGATTCCATTTCAACTGTAATTTCCAGCAGTCTACAGAATTTAAGATGTTTTAACAGAAGCATTTATTAAAGTTTTCAATTTTCCAAGACATAAACAGCAAAAATATATTGGATCTATTGGTCAGCATTTGGTGCAGGAAGAAGTCACTTCAACAATTCCACTTGGATTCTTAAAACAAAATGTGAATGCTTTACAGAAAACTTGCTTTCAAATTCCATGGTTTAAAACACATATTAAATGTCATCCTGAAGAACTTCCATATCAGCATTATCTCCAGTGGAAATATAATTGCATCCTCTTTTCTTCCCTTTTATAGTCTGAAGGTCTCAAAGAAGATGGAAAAATCAGCTGTAGCACAGATGCCATGCTAGACTAATGAAAATCAACATAATTAACAAAAAGAACTCTGAAATTAAGATGGTGAGAGAGAGACATGCTCTAGGTCGAAGTATGAAGCACTTTCTACAGAATTATCCCTCTAAGCTCAGTGGGACTTCCCAAGAATTTTAAGGTAATCAGTGTCATTAGGAGAATCACACTCATTTCCCTTCCATGGAGGAAAAGAATATGTTCAACCTGCCTCAGAGTCTTTTCAAATAAACTTTGCTGCACACATGCAGGTGAGCCAATCACTAGTTCTCTTTCTTTGAGAAGAGGTAATATTCCAGGTGAGCCTCACAAAAGTCTAACAAGTATAATGTACCTTTGAAACACTGTCATCTTTGTAGAGACTTTTATCCAAGAAAGAATTTGATCTAACAATTTTTTTTTTGCTATTACTTTTAAAGTTCAGCTCAATCACAACACAAAAATACAATAATTTGCCAGGAGTCCATTTTAAACTAAATGCTTTTATACAATAGATATCTCATACTGAGAAATTACTTCTAAAAAGAAGTAAAAAACCCAGATCAGAAAAAAAAAAAAAAAGGCAACAACTGAAAAAGAATAATCTGTCCCTAAAACTTACAGCTGTAATGCCTAGCATTGCAAAATATAATTTACATCTAAGTTACATGAATAACCTGCAGGACATGGAACTGCAGTGGAGGACCTAGCACCAGCAGAAACTGAACACAAGAGTTTCTCCCTTTACCTGTGCAAGGAAAGCACTGAAGAAAAGGTTATGTCACAGATGTTACCTACTCCTTGACACTGTTCCAGCAACAAGCTCCTACTTACCACTGCTCCTTGGCATCCTGACTGTCTGTAAAGTCGTGGCCTTCTTGCTGCTACATTTTGAATTAATCAGCAAAATGTCTTCCAGCCCTGCAAACAAACAAGTATTACAGTGCTTAAGCTGACAAGTTCTCTGTAATTGTCATCTGCTAATGCTGCTCTTGAAAGAAAGAATACAGGGCAACATGGGCCGCTGGCCTGGCCCTGCAGGCCACTTCTTACAGACTCACGCTGTATTTGAAGTATTTACCCAAGATTTATTGAGAATTACAATGCATTGAAAAACTACCTGTAATATCCCACAGCAAAGCACAGCGAGATAAGAGCTAAGGCGTGCTAGTCACGCTGATTTAAATCCCCGTGTGATGAGAACAAGCCACCAACAGCGGTGCCAAGGACCTACGCTAACCGTGGGCAGGAGCAGCGCCGTGAAATCCAAGCGACGCAGGGAAATTCAGCATTAATTACACACGTTAACCCCCATGACCGCCAACAGAGCCATCCGCCCGGTATCAGTAACTAAAGCGAAGCTTTCTGCCTTTTTAACGTTGTTTTCTCGGTTCTCATGAAAACGTCGTTACGAATGTCGATATTATTTAACCATGGATTTCCCCCACCCACACACCTCCCCATTATTTACTCCGCATTACCGCAGCCGTGCCCGGGAAAGCAGCTCCTCAGTACACGAGGGACCAGGGGCGCACCGGCGGCCGGGTGGCCTGGTGAGCCCCCTGCCTCGGGCTGCCCACGATCGGAGGCCCCGCTCCCCGCCCTCACCTGCCCGCCGTCCCACGTCCAGCAGCTCCCGGGACGCTCCCGGTGCCCCCGCGCCGCCGGGCCCCGCCATGCGCCCGCCGCCACGGGAATGGCTCCGGCCGCTCCGCCGCGGCGCCGGCAGCGCCCCCGCAGGGCGGGAGGGGCACGGCAGCGGCGGCGGGGAACCGCGCGGGAAGGAAAATAAATCACGCTGCAAAGAAAAACAAACAAACGAACAAACAATAACAAAACAAAAAAAAAAACCAACAACAAAACCACGAACACCCAAACAAAAGGAAAAAAACCCAACAAACAACTATTTTGAAATCGTTGTGAAACGATCAAGGGGTGGACTTGATGGTCTCAGAGGTCTTTTCCAACCCGGCTGATTCTATGATTCTATGATTTGAACCTTCCGAAATGCAACGAGGGCCCTGCACCTGGGGAGGAATGACCCCAAGCACCAGCACAGGCTGGGAGCTGACCTGCTGGAAAGCTGCTCTGAGGAGAAGGACGTGAGAGCCCTGGCAGACAACAGGCTGTCCATGAGCCAGTAGTGTGTCCTCCTGGCGAGGAAGGCCAGTGGTGTCCTGGGGCGCATTAGGAAGAGCATTGCCAGCAGGCCGAGGGAGGTGATCCTGCCCTTCTACTCAGCCCTGCTGAGGCACATCTGGAGTGCTGTGTCCAGTTTTGGGCTTCTCAGGTCAAGAGAGACATGGAGCTCCTGGAGCGGGTCCAGTGGAGGGCTACAAAGATGATTAAGGGACTGGAGCAACTTTTTTATGAGAAGAGACTGCAGGAACTGGGCCCGTTAAGCCTTGAGAAGAGATAGCTGAGAGGGTACCCTATCATTGTATATAAATATGTAAAGGTGGGGTGCCAAGAGGATGCAGCCAGGCTCTTCTCGGTGGTGCCAAGCAATAGGACAAGAGGCAATGGGCAGAAACACAGGAAGTTCCACCTGAATGTAAGTAAGAACTTCTTTACTGTGCACTGGAACAGGTTGCCCAGGGAGGTTGTGGGGTCTCCCTCACTGGAGATATTCAAGAACCATCTAGACACAATCCTGTGCCATGTGCTCTAGGACAACCCTGCTTAAGCAGGGAGGTTGGACCAGATGACTGATTCCGTGATTTGGCACAAAAAAGTCCATCCCATCACCTAGAAGAACCATGAGCATGTGGAACCAAGCTGCCAGCAGGTAAAGTCACTTGAATGCCTGCCAGTAACTGCTTGTCTCTGAAAACTCTCCCATTTTCCTTGTCAGAATTTGACAAATGCACCTAAAATTAAATTTCAGAGCCTGAGGGAGTTTTAATCATCTTTTGGAAAAGAAACTTACACAACCACCAAGTTCAGTTGACACTGGCCAACCTGTTATTCAGGATTTGTTCTGCAGCTTCTGGCCTTTATCTGTTTATACTCTAGACGATGTGAAAACTGTAAAAAGAGAACTGAATGGTTCATAAGAAACAAGAATGGAAGTACAAGCCAAAAGTGAGAAAAAGTAGCAATCAGGTAAGTGGTGTTTATAGGCCCTCAATGCAAAGAACACGGGGGGGAAAAAAAAACAAAAAGCAAAACAACGAAAACCCAACAAACCACCCAGATCCCAGTGTCTTGGCATTAACAAATCCAAAGCAGTAGGAGGCAAACCTTCTGCAAGGCCTCTGCAAGAGACCTTGGGCCTCAAGCGAGTCTGTCTGAATTTGCACACAATGCAAAATAATAGTGTGGGAACTTCAGATACTATATTTCATCCATGGGTATTATGTGATTTCAGTGGAGGGAGGGGCATAATGCTGTCAAGGAACCTGTAGTAGGGAATGATGAAATAATTGCCCAAGATCACCAGACATGCAATTAGAAAAGCCAGAAATAGCAGCCTCAGGTGTTATTCCCAAACCTGAGGTTTATACTCTAACCTGTTGGCAACAGAGGCAGATGTGATCATTATCTGATTTGCAAGGTGGCCCAACTACGTATCCACACTGTGTAACACGTGAGCACACACAGGGCATGGATATATATGGTTACTACTAGGGCAGGGAAACAAACAGATCTGTAGCCCAAATTTCCAATACATTCAGGGTTGAGACAGCTGAATTAATAGCTCTGAGGTTTGGGCTGCTTCATTCATTTAATGCAGTATTGACTCAAGAGTTCAAGGTGATGCCATATATTTCACTCTTGTAGCACAGATTGTTTTGGCCCCAGTCCTGGAAATACATTTTCCTGTGCTTAAGTTTCTGCTTTGCCACACATCCCCACCACAGCTAGCGCCAGTTTATGTCAGACACTTGGTGATTTGCCCATGCTGTCTTTTGTTCTGTCTGTAGAAAGGAAAAGGGATGCTGTAGGCTTGGCTGCTGTCACCATCATTAAATCCCAGTTCTCTTTTCTTCCTCTTTCTTCCCTTTCACCTCCCACTTAAGGCATGTTCACTACTTCAAGTTGTTGAGGAACAATGGAGGAATAGTATAAATAATGATAATAAATGCATAAATTTAGCTGGCTTGACTGTTTCAATGTATTAATATAAAGTGTGTCTCAAAACAGGAGCCCAGCAAGGCCTTGGCTTTGTACTTAGCAAGGGAGTTCCTTGCAGACTTACATGTTGTGTGCAGGGTATACAGTCTAGCTGGGCAAGAAAAAGGATTCCAACCGACCCACACACTTAAAAAACTGGATTCTTGAGGAAGCTGCTTTTAGCCAATTGGCAGGAAAGAGCGACAATGTCCCGGTAGCTGACAATCTGGAAACAGCGGCTCTTGTGCTACATCGCCAAGAAAGCTACTGCGAGTGGAAGCAGAGGCACCGCCCGGGGAGCGTCCCTGAGCCCCTCTCCCCAGCCCTTTGGTCCCCGCGGCTGCGGGGCGCCGGCCGGGCCCTCGCCGAGGGAGAGGACCGAGGAGGGAGCAGAAGGACTCAGCTGCCACCGAGGGGACCGGGAGGGAGCAGCGGGGAGGGAGCAGAGGGGAGGGGGCGGCGGCGGGTCCCCCAGGGCGGGGTGACACGGGCCGGGGCTCGCCCTGCGGGGCCGGGCTGTGAGCGACCGCGGGCACCGCGCCCCATCCCGTCCCCTCGGCCGCGCCCGACTCCTCCCCAGCCCCGCCGGGTCCGGTGGCGGCGGCGGCTGCTGCGCATCACGGGCCACATCATCGCGGGGGCCGCCCGCCCTCCGGCCGCTTCCGCGCTTGCTCAGTGGCGGCGGCGCTCACCTCAGCCGGAGCTGTCACCGCCGCCGGGCTGGTCCCTCCCGCCGCAGCGATGGAGCGCGGCCCCGGCGCGCCGCCGGCACCGCTCCCGCCCAGGTGAGGGGAGGGCGCGGCTCGAGGGGGCGGCGGGGCGAGCGCCAGCGAGGGCAGAGGGGCCGGGCGGGCCGGCGACCTGCCGCCCCGGGGGCGAAGGCGGCGGCGGGGGCCGCGGGCGGGAAAGTTTCCTCGCGAGTGGCGGAGCAGCCCCGCGCCCCCGGAGCTCCGCGCCGGCCCGCCGCGGTGCCGGGCTGCCCAGGGGCTGTGGGGCACTCGGGGCCGCCCGCCTCCCTCCCGCCCTCCTCCCCCGCGCGATGCCGGCCCCGGCCGGCGTTCCCCGGGTGCGGTGGGGCTCGTCCCCCTCCCCGTGCAGCGGGCCCCGAGCCGCCCGACCGCCTGCCTGCCCCCGCAGCCTCCCTCCGCGCACTCCTCTCCCCCGCACCCCGCGCCCCGCAGCCGCTCGCCGGCCTGCCCGGGGTCCTGTGCTGGACCGCGGATGCTGCGGGCGTTTGGCCCCGGTACCCTGCGCTCCTCAGAGCCCGGAGCGCGTTTCATCATGTGCGCGTAATTATGCACTGCTCCAGGTAGCCCGGACAATGAGCCTTTTCTTTGGTTTCTCTGTACGTGCACAAGACCTGCCCAACATTGCCAGTGGCCCTTATTCCCTGGCACTCTGTACATCCGTATGTGCAGGCAGTTCTGGTCCCACCTTTGCACCCATAAAAATATGCCACTCTTGTCACCGCGGTTGCAGTTGCTAGAGAAGCATGGAACCTCTACCCGAACAGCACACGGACAGACTTCAACGATCATCTCTTTTTTTGTTTACAAGCGTTTAACATGTGATGGTGCATTTATTCTCTTTCCATACTTTTCTGCCAAAACATAGAAGCTTTTTGTGATTTAGTCTACTTTCTACTCTCTCATTATTTCTCAACTAAGTTCAGGTTGTAGCTGTCTGTTTCTTTATTTTCAGGGAATATTACAGTTTCCTCTTCCCTGATCCCACTGGCCAGGATACAGTTGTGTGTCTTCTTCACTTACATTTGATCCTAGGTTATAGACCACATTGTAATAAGTGGATCATATAAAATTAAAGAATTGTTTAGTCCTTAGGAAGAGTCCTAGCAGTGTTTAGTAGATGTCCCTAGTTATCCTCACTTTACCAGTTCAGTAATGCGAGTAAAAAGATGAAAGCAGGTAGAATGACCTGTTTTGGCAGCATTCCCTACATTACTGCCCTAAGAGATTGTGAAACTGGATCCATAAATACTGCAGTATGACTGGTAGACACTTCAGAAGGAAAAATAGCAGTGTATAATTTTCTTTTCAAATACTTCTGGGATATTATCCACAAAAAACAATGCGAAGTCTGTATCCTAGTGCCTGAGTTAATAAGTAATTAATCTTTCCTTGGTGCTGACAGTAGAAAACTGTAATCAGGATCCCAAATAGTACAGTTTTGACTCATCCTGGTAAGTACTTACTGGTTACTTAATCTAGAGGACTGCATTATCTCTTATATTTCATACTTTTCCTACCTGCTTTTGATGGGCTGCAGGATGTGATTTGCCTGGTATTTTTCACGTTGGTATTCCATTTGGGTGACTTTACAACCTGTCCACATTTCACAGCCTTGCTACCTCTTTTCTGGCTCTGTTTTGATCTCTTCTAAACGAGTTTCCTTAGAAGTGCAGAGGCAAACCAAATCCTTTTCTCACAACTGCTTTTCTCTTCCTTGGGTCCAAAATCGAAAGCTGCCGTGTTCAGGAAGTGGAATGCAGCAGTCTCAAACTTGTCTGAAAACTGAGCCTGAGGCTGGCAAGTCTTTCAGTGTCTTACTCTCAAGAAGG